GGAGTCTTTGTACATGATGAGGCTATAAAGATAAAAAAGGTAAAAGGAAAAGAGGGGGGTTAGTGGGTGCCCAACAGATAGACACCTCACCTCAGCCAGGAAGGAAGTGTGATTAAAGAGACTGTCCCGTAACTGGAAGATCGTAAAATCCATCCTGGCTGCTCACTGCACACTGATCCCTCTGGTGTAATGTGGACCTTATGGTTCCAATCATCCTGGTTTTTACAGACATAAATATCTTCCGGTGATTGGATAAGCTAATTTTACACAGCCACAACTTGTCAGACTCACAGACAATTAAAGCTCAATTACTTTTTATATTAATAGTGAATCAAATGACCCACAGAAAACCCACCAACTCTTTTAGCTCATCGTTTTGGTTTTACAGGACATTTACTGTATAATTCAGTCCCTTATGAACCCTGTTTTTCCAAACTCTGGTAAAGTTAGCGACTAGCTGGGGAAGACAGTGGAACATGTAGCTCCATAAAGAGGCAGATGTCTGTGAAGATTCTCAGTCATCCAGGTCATAGTTATCCAAAGAAGGTTAAAGTCAAGGGCAACTGAAGAAGTCCTTTGAATGAGGGACGAAATGTCTTCTAGTATCTTCATCCAAGTCCAGTTGCCCTTGACTTTAACCTTCTTTGGAGAAAGAGGCAGATATTTTTCTCAGGAGTTAGTGGAGATCAAAAAAAGAGCTAAAAGTTATCAGGTGGACAAAACAGATGCTAAATGAATGCTAATGATTCTATGTGCCTGTAGGATATATAGAATTTGCTCATTAGCCAGCTCATTAGCCATAAAACTGCTTTATAAGTGTCATGTTTATGTGTTTGTCAGCTTGTTGGTGTAGTTTCTCTTTCCCTAAGTGGCCCCAAAAAAAGACATGATGTAGAAGACCTGAAATCCCTGCCTATCTCTCAGCTATAGCCTCTGTTCTGCTAGCTAGCAGCTGTAACTCAGTGAGTTTTCTCGAAGCAAAACACAGAGTTGAACTAAGTTGAGGAGAAAAAATTCTAATCTCCTGTAGGATGAATAAAGCCATCAAATTTAATTTAATTTAGACATGAACGAACAGACAATCACTACGGATTTTGGTGCCCATGTAACTGCTGCTGACGAAACTTTAAATCAAACAACTTTATAACAGGCTTATAAATATAATATTGTAGAGCAGCAAATAGGAGGTGTTGTTCTCAGCGCTGTAATTCTTAAACAGTAGGACAACATGGTGGCTTAGCAACTCATTATTAGTGGTGTAAGTGGTGACTTTCAGTTTGCACATTAATATGTAAATTAAATGTTAATCGATTTTCAAAGGTGTGCATTTATCATGTGTTTTACAGCGGCGCCCAGTGTGACTCAGTCAATCAGAACTGAACTATGCAGTTTGTAATAAGGCAATTCAAGTGCTCTAAAATGATTAAAAACAAATGAAGACACTTTACTTCAAGTGCACTGCGGCTACATTACAAGCAGATAATAATCCCCTTAAAGCTCAGACAAACTTTTATGACGTAATAATAATACATCAGGAAATAACTTTGTGTCATTAACAGTACAGCTGCCCTGTAAAGTATTCAGCTCATTTTTGTATTTCATGTTCTGATTAATTAGTATGCAGGTTCTTTATAGTGGCTTATGAGGACCATTTCAATGAAATAATTACCAAAGAAAACAAGAGTCATTCAGTTCATTGCAGAGCAGAGAAGAAGAAACTAGAAAAGAGGTTTTGGGGACAGGAGGAGGAATTAACTCTCATGGAGGATGTAACAGGAAAACAGGAAGTAGATTAAGCAGCCTACTGACTAGACAGATACATTTGTAAAGCTAAATGCCAGCGCAGCATCATGCCGGCTGCACACATGGCTTTACCTAGTGAAGTTGTTGGTTCTCTGTGCTTTTTATGAGCCTGAGCGCAGCGAGGACCTAGTAGTTTTGCTGGGCTCCTGCTGAGCGCATAATGAATGGCAGACTGCGGCTGTGGGCCTGCCAGGCAAGAAGAAATAGCACTGTGGCATTGTGGGATAGCAGAGGAGAGTCTTGCGTTGTGGTTCTCGGCGGGAGCTCACCGAGATCAAACATGTCGACAGCGCCGCCACCCGCCGGGCATTCTAGGTAGACAGACCTGAGGAGGAGACGCCTGAAAACCAGACCGAGTTTTTGTACCTGTGTGAGTGTGTGTGTGTGTGTGTGTGTGTGGGTGGGTGTGTGTGTGTGTGGCAGCTTTTGTTTTTCAAGAGTGAATGACGGCAGCACGTCAGATGTTGTCATGGCTTTTGTTTTTTTGTTTTTGTTTTTTGCCTTTGGAGGACAGACTTTGAAATGGATTAACGAGAACTGACTTGATGTGACTTCCAGGTTTGCTTTGACATGACTTTCCTCCTTTTGATGTGGCTCCACACACACACACACACACACACACACACACACACACTCATCCATGTCCCTGCATCTGTCCTTGTGTTAGTGATACTGTACTGAGACTGCAGCCTGAAGGGTTATCGACTATTCCTGACTGTCCAGTGTCTATGACCCGCTTCCCTCCTCTTGTCTCTCCTCCTCTCTTGGTTCTTTTTTACCTTGTGATCTTTCTCTCACCATGTCTCTGTCACTGCCACTGTTTATTGCTCAGATTTTCTTTCTTTCTTTCTTTTCCCTCTGTCGTTCTTGCTTCCTTCTCTTTATGTCCTTTTGTTTTTTTATCGCCCTTCATGCAGATGTTTGCAGCTCATGCACACTGTAAACTGCAAATTAAAGCTTTCAATCATCACTGAATATCATTTAAATTTAGTTTTTACTTTCTTTCTCATTTTTTTCTTATTGTTGCTCTTTTTTTTTCCTATATGCAGACCTTTGCATGAAAATGCATGTCAAACTGCATGTCAAACCATCAATAATAATGTTTCTATTTTACCTTTTTCCACTTTTTCTTTATTACTGTAGTTTTGCTTTCTTTTTTTAACATCTTTGTTTACATTTAGCCATCACTGAATTTCACTATTATACTGAATATTGTTTCTTTTCATCCTTCTTCATTTGCTTTCTAATGGTAGTCCTTTCTTTTTTTTCTTTCCCCATACTGTATGCAGACTTGTGTGACTGAAATGCATCACAAATCACAAGTTGTTCAAATGTCACAGAATTTCTCTTAGATTTTTTCCTTCCTTTCTTCTTCTTTCTCAATGCAGTTTTTCTTTCAGTATTTCAAGCTTTCTCTACCTACGTGCAGACATTTCTGCCCGAAACGCATCACTAATCACTTGGTTAGCCATCAGAATATTCAGCCGAATCTTTAAAATAACACAGGGTTTTGTTGCTGGGTGTATCGGCTAGTTTCATAGCTGCAATGATGGTTTATTTTGGGGGGTTTTTGGTGATATATTTTGGACAGAGTCAGTTAATTCTTTGACTTCCGTTTACTTGTAGGCGTCAGGTGCAGATGCAGATTAAATTCGGTCTTTCTCTATTTCTTCCATCCTCCACCATTGACTGCCCCCATCAGGCAGGATAGGAAACTAATGAACGGACATACGGGTGTGAGTGTGTCTGGGATAGGTCTGGGAGACAGAACAAAAAGCAGAGAGTGAGGATCGTAAGGAAGAGAGCAAGAGGGAGAGAGTTGGGATAAAGGTGTGTGATAGAATCAGAAGATCAAAGCCTTCTGTCACAGCGTGACTGAGCCCAGGGGCGTTATGGGTAAGACGGGGCACATACACACTTATACAGCTGCACACACACTTATGCACACATGCAGACACACACTCGTGGCTGGTATTTGACTCTGAGTGTGATTGATACCGGGCTAGATTTGGAGAATCACTGTCATTCGTCTCTCCGCAGATCAAACAGCCACATAATCTCCCATAAAGGAAAGAGAGATGGAAGGAATAAAAAAAAAGGGACAGAAGGAGGAGAGATTGAAACAAGGCGAGAGGGAGAGGGAGAGAGGTGACAAAGCCTTCTCATCTGTGAAGTGTTTTCTTGTTTTCCATAAAGGAAGACCGGCCACCTAAAAAAAAAAAAAATCATCATCATTCAGCTTACATAAACTGCTTCTTGGGCACATCAAAGAGGTATCCAGGATCTAATAAGACACACGTAAATGCAACTATTTACCCCATTTATACCTGGTATAAACATACAGTCTGTATCTTGATATCTTATCTCTGTGTAAGGAAAAAGCAAATAAATGCAAGTTGTATTCACAGTGCTCCTGATTGTCCAGATCACATCTGAAGTTGGTCTGGGTCCCGTTGTGATTGAATCTCAGAGGGGTTTAAATGACATCTGTTCAGTTTGGTCACATTATTAAAAAGATATACAGGCAGCAAGTTGAAAGGTCACTTAACTCCTCTTAAAACCTCTCTGCTATCAGAACCAAGCTTGGCAAAAACCCTACAGATGCGGTCAGTCCTCTGCAAAGGAAAAGCAAGTAGAGTTCATATTAATTAGCAGGAGTAAATGCAAAAGCCATGTGATCAGATGTAGATTCCATGTTAATAACGTGAAACATGGGTCTCAGAGATGCTGATTGGTGAAATCACCTTGGGAGTGGGAGCACAGTATTCAGAAACTCTCAGTTGCTGCTACTTGTTCTTCATTGTTGTGTTTGTTGTTGTTATTCTACTTCCCCTTCTTGGTTTTGTTCTTTTTATTCTCTTCCATCTTGTTCTTATACTTGCTCTTGAAATGTTGCTCTTGTTCTTCTTCCTCTTGTTCTTTATCTTCTTCTGGTGTTATTAACAAATTGGCAAACTGCTTTAGGTGCCGTACCAACACCGTCTGGACTCAAGTGTTTTATGGCTGAGCAAGATTTGTGCACAGAAAAAAACTGGCTATTAAATCTTATATCTGGCTAATTGAGATGCATACACATATAAATGAATGAATGTTTAAACCATATCTGGATTTAATTTGGTGCAAAAGTGCAGGGTAACGTCTGATTGTGTTTGTGTGCAGCATTTCATATATTTAATCTTTCTTTCCTGTCTCTACAGATGCACCACCCCATTCAGATGAAACCTGCAGACAGTGAGAAATCTAATGGTGAGTGGAAACACACACACACACACACTGACAGACGCATCAATATCACACACACATGCATCAATAGCCTTTTTGAATTTGCCTCATAATAGCTATCTCACCCATGTGTTTGCTCGCTGCTTGACTGGCAGACAGGACGAGGGACTGGGGGCGAAAGACTGAGAGAGAGACATAGAGAGGAACAGAGAAAAAGAGCGATGGTGGGAAATGCTAATATATATAAATATACTTTTATATGTGTGATGAATTATTAAGGCGCTTCGGAAGGAGGTCAGTGAAAGTTGAATCGTTTTGGCCTTGTGGTGAACCCGCCTCTCTCCCCTGTGGCTGTTCATTCATACAAACATGCTGCATGCACTCTCCTACACACAAACTTGCTTAAATGCATCCCTCTCGTGCGCACACACACACACACACACACACACACACACACACACACACACACAGAGCACTGTCACACACTCTGTCCTCAGGTCACCCCATTTCCAAACTACATATTGCAGATCTAGTTCTGAATTGATTTCCTATACCGAGCCACTTCCTCCATTCCTCCTCATTGTAATGAAGAAGGTATTGGACAGTGTATACTAGGGGAAGTATCCGGGTGTCTTTAAATGATAGGAGAGGCGTTATTCTACATTTCTCTTATTTGTCAACAAATCCCATGAAAAGACGACGTCCAACGTGTGTTAGTCTAATAACTCTAGTCTTACTATAAATACTTAATGACTTTCCTGCTATGTCTAAAGCACTCAGCCTCCAAGACCACTGCATCCTACTGAAAACATAAATCTTTAAAGACGGCTCACAAATACACAGTTTCATTTTTTTTAAACATTTCCTGAAACAGCTGGGTAGTGTAGTTTTTGGAAATATAAACAAGGTTTTCTCCAATCGGCATTAAAACACACACCTTCTACTTTTGCCCCTACTGTACTATATGACCCATGAGTTAAAGAAGTCAGGTGTCGTAAATATTTGATTGGATAAAATGTTATTTATCCAGCCTCAAGTTCAAGAAGAGTCATTAGAAATATCACAATGTTTCACAGCATGCAGAAAGAGAGGAATCTATAAACGCTATATTTTACATATACCAAGAGATAGAAACAGTTAATGTAGGGACACAGGACATTGCGTATTTAAAGATAATTTTACAAGGTCTGATTTTGTTATTTAAATCTGTTTTTAATTGGTTTCCGTTTTATGCAGCAATAACATTCTGTGTAATTTGTCAGGTTCATCGTGTTCAGTGACATTTATTCGAGGTAGATTTGGAAACTAAAAGACAGTGTTATTAAAGTTGCAGTTCAGTGGTAGAAGCAAGCAAACACTGTGGACAAAATCTGATTTGGTATCTATTTTAAGATTCTGCTCAATTACTCAGTTTTGAGGGTCAGTTCACCCAAATTGTAGAAACGCATAATGTAATTTCCTTCTTGCCTCTGCAGAGTTCAGGTTTCTAGTTTAGTTTTTATCATCTGTTGAAGCACTGTGGGATAATGAAATGACAGGCCGCTGGACAATGATGTCTTTAAAAGCTGACCCATATTTGGTGGTCAAGTGCACAGTTTTTCAATCTCTTCCATCAGATTGCATGCTGTCAATACTAAACCAAATCAAACTAAACTTAAACGTTCTACACCCAATCAAAAGTGTCTCTTTTTGTGAGACAACCTTCGAGTGATTTTTTTTTGGCTGTTGTTTTGCCATTTTCACTCTGAAATGAGGCTCTGGCTCAGGGACCCTTCTACCTTGTGGGTAATTCATCCATGGGAGGATATTTGTTTGCTGCTGATGCTTTTACAGCCACTCAAATGTTACGACGATTAATAAAAATTTTGTTGCAATGCAGAAAATTTAAAAACTACATTTCAAAAAACACAACGGCAGTTCAAATTGGTGCCAGCAATGCCTGTGGATTTTTCAGGATGGCAGAGCTCAATAATCTCAGCAGCAGATATCAGAAAATTTTGGCAAATAAAACTGAAATTATTTGCATGGCTAAGTGAGAAAATGTGTGTTTTTGCAATTTGGATGAACTGACCCTTAAAGCTGCGTAATTGAGCAGAATATGAAAATGGATAAAACCATGATTGGATGAACTGACCATTAAAATCCAGTTGCAGGTCGTTTCAAAAATGATTTTAAAGTTTCAAACGTGTTTTTCTGACACCTACAGGAACCCTGTGTGTGTAAATATTAAAAGCAGGGGCTTTGCCATAACTTTACATCACGGAGGAGTCCTGGCTGACACAGACGATGGAGTAGAATCATAAGCCACCTGCTATATCACTGTCCACTGCAGGGGAATACAATGAAATGACAGTATCCAGCAAGGCAGGGGAGAAATCCTTATAAAAGCCATCCTCCGCTCCACTGAAATATGACGCAAAACGACTTTATAAGACATAACCGTCAGGGTAACGGTTGTGGAACTTAATAAAGCAGCCAATACTCATAGCCAGAATGGTGAAATATAGAGCAGACCATACGTAACATATCCATCCACTTAATGGTAATGACCTTTAATAAACCCAGGCAGCTCAGAGGTTTATTAGTTTAGTCAGTGGAGGAGATGGAAGAGGAGAAAGAGATGGAGAGATGTACAGAGAGATAACATTATTGGTAAAATTTTGTTTTTGTTTTTTCACTAAACTTTTTTTGGTGTCCCTTAATGTGTTGAAACTCAGCATGAAGCCAATTTTGCTCCAGTTTATCCCAGAATGCAAAGCTGACTCCAGATCATCCCAGAGCCGGCTTTATGAGTCTTATCAACCGCCCGCCTGCTTGTGTGCCTCGTCCGAAAAATAGAAACAGTCAATTGTAACGATATCTCCTCTCTTTCTTTTCTATCGACACAGAGTAAATTAATTACATTGCTGTTAGACTTGTGGTAATCTTTCTCTGGAGTGATGCGCGCACACACACACACAAACACATTGTGTACAAAGGAGTTAAAGCTTTTTGAAACAACACTTATCTTGGCAGCGTATCCCGACGGTTTGTTTTTTAAACACACAAACAATTCAAACAGCAAAATAAACAAGTGTGCTATTGATTTCCCAGAGTGCAACAGAGCGCTTATCTCTTTCGCCTCGCGGTAAGAGCTGACAGTTTCCTCATTAAAAATGAATTGGATTAGCATTACATTGAATGTGGTGGGAACACATAAACAAACACACACATATTGTTTCTGCAAGCGGTAAGGATTTCGCTCTCAGCCTAATTCACACTTTCACATACGCTAAGACACAGCCCAAGTTTCTCACCGTTACCTGGCGCAGCTGGCTCACATTCCTCGAGATTGCACCAGAGAAAGAGGGATTGTGTCAGCGAGGAGAAAGAGAGGAATCCATGAGGGAGAAAGAAGGGGGATAGAGAAGGAAGAGGGTGAGAGAGGACAAGCTGGAGAGTCTCAGCAAGCAGTCAGTGTTGAAGTGATAATGAGACATTGATCAGAGCCTCGCAGATGGCATGATGAAATACATGAACTCTGTCTGTGTTCATCTCTGTCCTATCATCTTTTTTCTTTCGTTCCCTCTTTCTTTGACTGTTTCTTTTGATTTGTGTTTTGTTCTGTCTCATTCCATTTTGTCTTTTTCGTTCCCTTTTGTTTTCATTTTTATTTTTCATTCTCTTTGTTCTCACCAATCTTTCTCTCACCTTCACTATTTTTCAGTTTATTGGCATTGCTATATGTTTTAGAAACCATGAACTGCAGTGCAATGGGAAGCTTGTGCTTAAGAAAAATATATATAATTAAAAGAATAGCTCAGCATTTTAGGAAATACCCGTATTTACTTTCTTGCTGAGAGTTAGACGAGAAGATTGATACCGCTCTCATGTCAGTACGGTAAATATGAAGCAGTTAGCATAGCATAGCACAAAGACTGGAAACATAGGGAAACGGCTAGCTTGGCTCTGTACAAAAATAACAAAATCCATCTACCAGCACCTCTAAAGCTCATCACTTAACACATCATATCTTGTTTGTTTAGTTGTGACTCGACAAGGAAACTCGAATTCCCATCTAAACATTACTTTAGATAAAAAATTACACAAAAGAAATACAAAAAATACTGAAATATATACGGCGATAGCGCTGTAAAAGTGTAAAAGTCTCTTTTCTCCTTCTTCTTCTTGGCTCTGCAGCGGTGGAAGACAGGAAGTTGTTCATCGGCATGGTTTCGAAGAAGTGCAACGAGAACGACATCCGGGTCATGTTCTCTGCGTTCGGACAGATTGAGGAGTGCCGGATCCTCAGAGGGCCCGACGGACTCAGCAGAGGTGTGTGTCGCCCTGACTCACTTCCATTCACACTTTATGCACCTCTTGTGTTTATTATTACCAGAACAGCCTCCAGCAGCTGTTGCTGTTCATTATGTCGACTTGTGTTGTGACTCAAACTCAAGTACTGTAGCAAGTCTTTACTATATCACTTTGTGACAGGAGGTGGCTGGTTGAAGAGGGCTTCTGAGCCAATGGCTGTGTCTCAGAGTATAAAAAACTTTTTTCATTGAATTAACTGATAACAAAGAGTATCAGTTTGTTCTTTTTAGCATTTATGGATTCAAAATCTGTTTATTGTCATTATTAAAAATATATTTTTACCTTATCATAGTCATACATTATTGCCCTAAAATTGTCAAGAAACATGGCAGACTTGATGTTAAATCGAGGAACAATGTGCCAGTGACCGACTTTATTGTTCCACTTAGCAGCATTAACAACAACTATTTATACAGTATGTGTTTTTTTTTTAATCAAAGTCAACCTTGAACCATGGTCACTGGGCAGTTAAGGTGGCTGAGCATCATGCATAGTATATGTGTGCAGAGAGTGAAACCACAACCCACAGATGGTTACAGATTCACTGAAATTAAATCAAACATCAGTCCACTTCACTGTGTCTACAGTTGTGTGTGCGACAGTGCTCTGTGCATGTCGTACAAGTTGTGTAATTCTGCAAGAGATTTTATTTTATTTTTTTACATGCTAATCTTTTTGTCAGGAAGCAGTGCGGTGTCCCAGATGCTGCATCAGCTGGCTTCAGATGATAAAATGTACAATTGTCGCGCCCATCTGTCAAGTCGGGCCATTATTGGGCTGAAATTGTATAGTTGGAATTCGGCACAGGTGATTTCTTTCTGTAAGGCCACAGCTAAAGAATACAGAAACCGCAGATATTTTTAATGCAGTAACAAACCAAAGAAACAAATAAAAGAAATAAAAGAAAAAAAGAAAATTAAATACATAAATAAATAAAAGAAAAATAAATGTTACGATTGGTTTGTCAGAGCTGAAGGGAGCAGCAACCGTAGCAACTCAGTGTGGCAGTATGTCACACTCACTGTCAGAAGGGGGAGACAGAAGTTCCACACTACACGTTTTAAGCTTTGCGTATAGTCTCAGTGAATCAGTTCACCTAGACAGTGTAGTTTCATAATGTGTCTACGAAAGCCATTGTATCAGATCCTGTTTTCAACCAGCTGCCTCTTGGAAATGGCCAAGATTTCCTTCATGGTTTTGAAACAGTCTTGGTAGGAAGTAAATTCAAATGAACTGGAGCGACATCTTGAGGCTGTGCTGGCCACTGTGAGTAAATGCTTTTTCCTTTCTGCTCTATATATCTCGTTTCCCTCTCTCTCTCTTTTTTCTCCCCCTCTCGCTCTCTCAGCCTCAGTCCCAGATCACCCCTCTTCCTCTGACCTCCTAACCTCCATTCATATCCTTCACCTTCCCTGCCGTTCCAGTTTAGCCTCACCGTAAGCCAGACCTGAGCTCTTTGATACTTTCATAGTGAGGCTGAGGGCATTAACAAACTGGCTGCCCAAATCTAGAAGCGTCTCTCTGCTTGTTGCTTTTACAGTATATGGATTGGTTATATTTTACATAGCAGAATTTCAGTTTTAAAGCCACATCATAGAAGACATTCTCTTAACTGGTCAGGGAAAGACTAAACAAACATGAAGGATTCATTGTTCAATCAGTGTCATTCTTCTACTTGAGCCAATAAAATACCTGGGTATGGGTACCCAACCAAACAATACTTTAAGGAACATACTCTTCATTCAACAAAATACTGCAAAGTTCAGCTTTGTGCAGCAGTACAAGAGCATTGCCTAAATAAAGTCTAATATTTTATTTAAATAAGCAAGTGTTTGATCAAAGAATAAGTAAAAGGGAATATGAATCTGACCACACATTGCTGATGTTACATACACAAATAAATCTGTACTAATGTAGTATCGTGGTTTGAATTTCAGCCATAGAAAGCAGAATTTCAAACAAATCATGAGCTATTAAAATAACACAGAAAATCCATGCAATAGCAACCCTTTCCTTTTCTTAATTGGAGAAGAAGCGAGGACTGATTTGGCCACTCTGATACCTGGCGGGAGTCTGTTCCAAAGTCACGGAGCTAAAACTGAACAATTGTATGTTCGTCGCTTGATTTGAAAAAAGGTACGAGCTACCACCACTACCTCCACTAGGCAAAGGAAAATAGTCTGCCTCTTGAATTCATGGCATGTTTGCTTACGTGTAATTTGCGCACATTGAGGCCGTGTAATGCACGTAATGTACTCTAACCAAAGTGCCTTTTAGCAAGCAGTCAGACCAATTGGACTTGTCGACTCCTGTATTTGACTGTACAACAAACTACGCTAGGTTTCAGGTCTAGGGTTAAAGATAACCACTCTAAAAATTGTCCCAGTTTCAGTTCATGCAGTAGAACAAATCTTGCAAGCGCTCCCAACCGTAAACCGGCTGCCTCATCTTTACGGAATATCTCATGTAGTAACACAGCAACACCTTCCATCATCAACCATTCCTCCCCACAAACTCACACACCTGCCCAATCCCTCATTTATTCTATCTTCCCAATACTCCTTACCCCCCCCCCTCCCCTCTCCCCTTTGTGGTTTCTATGTGCTGAGGAGATGGAGGGGCTTTTTAAACTCTCTGTCCTCCTATTCGTTCTCCTCCCGTCACACGAGCTGTCATTGTCATTGTCATGCAGGTTCAATGTGGATCTGTTGGTCACGTATATTTTTTTCTGTGTTTGTCAGACGTTATGGATGTTTAATCGTTTGCTATATTTTCTCAATGTGTCTTCTTCTTCTTTCTGCTGAAGGTCGTCTCTATCTAGAACCAACGTTTGCCTCAAACTAAATTACTCAAACTCCCATGTTCCTTTGCTTCTTCAAACAGAACCACCCTCCCTGTTTCTATCTATTCACCCTGGCTGTCCTATAATCCTCTCTTGCATCAATTTGTCCTCTTTTTCCCAAACATCCCACATCGGCCTCCTTCCCTCCCTTCCCACGATCCCTTCTTCCATCCCTTTTCAGCTCCTCTCTTTTGTCCTCATTAATATTTCAGATGTGATGGCCAAATACTCATTTCTGGAGAACTGATATAAACCACTTAGCGGCTGACGCAAGTCAAAGAGGAAATGCTGGTAGTCCGGCTTGGTCTGGCTAGTAAATAAACAACCCTAACCAGGTTGAAAATAAATAGGTCTTTAAGGATTTCTATGTGCCTGTATGTCCCAGAGGCCCTCAGTCCCACCTAGCTGTGCTGCTGAGCCCCTATTAAATCGTGGTATCAATCAGAAGAGCGCTCTGCCATCCCACTATTAATAAAATATGGATCACACCACCAGTGGATGGCTGGGCCTTGGGAGCTACCCTACTTTCATTAAAGGACTGTTTGGTTCTCAGCTGACGACAGAATGCGGCCCGTGAGGTATTTTTAGTACTAAAGCCACATCCCATCTCTCTGCCGTGAAAAATAAGACATGCACCAACCAGCCAGAAAGTGTGGCTTGTAAAGTTGTTTTTTTTTTTTTCATTAACAGCTTTGACATCAGTGAATCAATGTTCAAGCGCTGAGGAATTCTTTATTTAGAAGCTCCAACAGGATTAAGCTGCAGAAACCAGCCAAAGATAGACTTTTTTTGTGTGTGTGTGTGTGTGTGTGTGGGGTGGGGTATTCTGCCAATGGGAGACAAACTCAGGAGTTTCCATTTGATGACAACCAATGACGATGTAGCTGACCAGTTTTATAAATAGAGTCAGGGCCTAACGTGATCAGTCTGGAGGGCTAACCCAAATGGAAGCCCCCTCCAGAACTGATCCAGTTTTGCAGTGGTACTTCTTTGCAGAGGATGGGGCAACCTCCAAGAAATTACGCAGTTGAATGACAGAATGTTGCCCGTCTAAAATAGACAGTCCCCTGAATCAGTAGAAAAAATGACCCCTTTTTCAAATGTCCTCTCTACGGTCACACCAGCTAACACAGCAGCCCGGCACTGTAAAGGACACATCACAATGTTTACTAGGTCAGTGCCGCAGAATCTGATAACCTTGAGTCTCTTTTTATTACTTTTTTACCTCTCTAATGTTAAGGCACTAAGGCAGTTTTATATGAAAGGTGAATAAACTATAACTTTCAGTTGGCAAAGACATAAAAAAAAAGGAGGTAATTGATTCATTTAAAGATCAGAAGCAGGTCCATCTGCAAAAGGAACAATCATTTTGAGACTGAATAATGTAGATATTGGTTTAACAACCTGAGTAAATGATAAAAACCTGGTTAAAGGTGGTGACAAAAGATCATAAAGTAAAACAAATGGAAGCCACTCATAACGCTGCTAAAGGTAAAAACAATTTAGGGGCCTGATGGCAAAATTAAATTTACATTAACCTTAAAAACACTCAATATTCCAACCCATTTTATTTCTTAGATTCATGTGTGTGTTATCCAGGCCTTCCCAGTTTCAGCAAGTCCTTTTCCAACACAACTAAACTAGTTACCGTTTATTAATTTATTATTTAATAGCCGAGTCCCAACTAGCCGCCTACCTCCTTTAACACGTTTTGACAAATATACCTGCCTCAATTAAACGCCTGGTCTAGTTTTTATAGTTCTTTGGATGTATAAAACCTCTTAAACCCCGCAGGGTCGCCGGCTTTAGCTGCTTCTCAGCTGCTCAGATCGTTAATACAAATATTAATGTTTAAACATATGATCAATGTGTCAGTATGGACATGCTACACATCGTTAGATCGGTTGGATTCTCCACAATTCAGTCGTTCAGTGCATTTAACGGAAGCAACAAGACCCAAAGTCTAATTCTGATAGATTTACCGGTGTAACCGGCCTGGTACAAGAGAGGAAAGGAAAAAAAGTGCCATTACCTTTGAAGCCCTCGTGAAATCCCAATGGGTCCGTTCCTTGATTATTTAGATTCCTTTAGTCCGTAAGGGTCCATCCATCAAAAGAATCAACAAAAAAAAGCTTTTCATAAAAATTTATCCAAGTTGTGAATCCTGTCATGTGAAGTCCATCGCTCTATGCTAACTTCAGCCACACTTCTCTCACCCTGCACCGTGATGTTACTTCAAAATAAAAGCGCATAAGCCGTCTGTCGGAGCTGGATCAAATGAATGACAATTTTATACAAGAATTATTCTGTTTGAAATGAATAAACTGTTTCATAGTAGTTTCAGTTTTGTGCAAAAGGAATTAAAGGCCTGTCCCATATGAACACCTGTCCCAAATATTGGCAGGGTCAATTCAGTGATTTAGCAAATAAAAGCCTGGGCTCTTATTCAAGGTTTTACGGAAAGATTGTGGTCATGGTTAAAAGAAACCAGCACTCAATGTAGACAATATTGAATGACAGAATGACATATAAAAACCTTAATTACTGGCTTGAAAGTCTGATGTTTTAGTTTGGTTTACATTAAGGAAACTAAAACGACTTGCTTAAGATTAGATTATAGACCATTATTGACTTTACATAAGCAAAGAACCAGAGTTTGGATTTTTTTTACACCCAGTCATTCAGCTCAACCTCCTTCTGAAACTAAAACAATGTTGTGCTACTTGCATCTTTGCTTCTGACAGAGAATAGTCTTTTTTGAATTGTCTAAAGAAGCTACTTTTTTTTTTTTTTATGAGGTAGTCTTTCGATTCCCAACTATTGTTGAGCAGCCAGTCCTCTCTAAAGAAGCGCATTTGTGTTGCATCTGGTGAATTAAACTTAGTTTGATGTACACAGTGAGGTTATCAAAAAGATTTTTGCTACAAAAGGGGTCAAAAGACATGATAAGACTATTACTGTAGCAATGCATGCCCTCTACAAGGGCATGTTTTTCTATTCTCAGGGAAAAGCCTCTGTCTGAAATCTTTGTGGTGGATGTAAGCAGGAGAAAAACTGACCATCCGTCACTCCCAGCCTCGTTCTATCACAGCAACAGCAGGCTTTTGATAGAGGTGGAAGAGGACAATGATCGCATCTATTCCTCAACACTCATCTGACATCTGTCCTTCCTCTCTCTTGCTCCCTGTTGCATTATCCATCCTCACAATTTCTCCTCTCTCTTTCCTCTCTGCCCTTTCATCCCATCCACACAGCCAAGGCGAGTCTATCTGATGACCCAGGCTATTCGTTTTTTTTCCTCTATTGCCAAGTCAGCCAGCCAAACCTGAATACGTGTGCGTCTCTGTGTGTGTCTGTGTGTGAACATGTGTGTGAACATGTGTGTAATCGGTTCAGGCCTGGCTGCGCTAACATGGCTTGGTGAGTTTGTTAGCATATTATTAGTCCGGGGGGTTGTTGAAGCACTTCTCACATTATCTCCTCTAATCACTCCCTAACCAGCCAGACAAACACAACCTTGCATCACCCCCTACCCACAAACAACCAATAATAAACTCCCCTAAATCCGCCTCTGGCTGCGTCCAATCTTGATTGGCTTAAATCAGTGTCAGTCACGGAGGAGGTCGACCACACCTCCTTTCATCTCTTCCTCTCTCCTCCTCGTCTCTGTGGATTGAATTAATATGATTTTCTATCTGATTCCCGTCTTCTTGAGCCCAGTGGAGATGCATTGTCCCAGCTCGCCCCGCCCCACCACCACCACATCTCTTTCCTGTTTGACAGTGAGAGAAAGAGGGCACCCAATCAGACACACAATACAGGACCAAATGAATTCAAATCGCTTTCATGCAAATTTCAACTGATTTACATTGTTGAATTGTTGAGAGGAGAGAGCAGTTGAATTCAGGTATGACTAATTCGTTCAGTGTGTAGGAGCGAGAGAACAGAGTAAGAGACAGAGAGAGACGATGAGGAGGAGGAGGAAGGAGGAGGAAGGAGGCGGGGACGGCATCAACAGTCAGTCTAAAGCCCCAGTGGCGATTGTGGTTGTCTCAGATGTCCTGTGGTGGCTGTGGATGGGTGAGGTGGTGGGATGGGGATGGGGCTAGGGGGGGTGTGGTGGGTTTGTCATGACACTGTTTTCGTTTTTCGGCTGTTGTTTCCACAGCAACTGAGAACACTGTTGTCTGCCTGTGAGCTGTTCTCTGTATCAATCTCTGTTTGGGTTTTTTTATAACAACGACGTGTCCAACCCTTTTGTCTTGTTTTTGTTCTTTCTTGTCTCCCCTCCTCCTCCTCCTCCTCCTCCTGCCCTTCTGCCCTCCCCCTCCTCCCCTCCACTGTCCCTCCATCCCTCCCTCCTCCTCTCCCCTCCCCTCCCTACAGGATGTGCGTTTGTCACGTTTTCCACCAGAGCTATGGCACAGAATGCAATCAAAGCCATGCACCAGTCTCAGACTATGGAGGTACTGTACTCTTGCCCTTTCTTCAACTCTCTCTTTCTCTTTCTGTCTCCTTAGCGCCATTTAAACATGCACTTCACCCTGTAAATGTGCTGGAAATTTAATATGTTCGGCCTCATGTTTAAATATCTGTAAGCCCCCGAGTCACCTATCTGTAAAAGTCTCGACTTCAAACCGTACTTTCTAGGTTGAGCCTTGGAACATTTAGGTCACTGTTCCAGCATGACTTAAGTCTAAATTGAATGCTGTCACATTAATGTATAGGATCCAGCAGCACTATGTTAAATAGAGACTAAACAAGTGTCTTGCTTTTCATTGTTAAGAGCAGTTTAATCATTTTTTTAACAAACTTAAGGTAACAGATAATATGGGATAATATTTTGAAAGTCACCTCACATCAGGTTAGTTTCTACATAAATGTGGAAAAGAAGATTAATCCCTTGGAAAACCACGATAACACTCATTCAAACCAACTGCTTAACACTATGGATATCAGGCAAAACGCTTTTCTTCCAGAATGTCGTGTCGTCAAATAGAAATGAGTAAAATATCATCATTTTTAACTTTGCCGTTTTTGAACTGTTTAAAATAGGCAGCAGTTCTATAATCTGTTGAATCATTGATAAAATTGATGAAAACATTTATTGGAGGATCTACTCGAAGCAGCTCTAACTGCCTAAAAATTACACATTTGCCTTAAAGGGGTTTAAAATCTTAACAATTTACAACATTCTCCATTGTAGACCCTTGTTTTAGATATGACGAAACAAACAGATCTTCCATGAAGGACAGACAGTCAGTAAGTGTTGGATGAACAAAGTAGAAATTAAGAAAATAGCATACATATTATGTATTATAAAGTATCTAAAAAGTAAGCAGTGAGATATCTTGACTGTTGTATACAAGAGAAATTAGTTACCTGACCTAAACTGGATTGGTCTCGACAAAGGATTGAATTGTGGTCCAGGTTTTGTTAATTTTTTGCATTAAACTTCACGCTCATGGTCTGGGTTTGGTTATTTTCAAATGTAAGTTATTAAGAAACGTCCCTCTCACTCTTTCTCTGAGGTTACAAAGCATGTGTATCCATGTGTGTTGCGAGTAGTTATGCCAGTGAGTGTAGCCAATGTGCTGCATTAAAGTCAGTAATGGATGAAATAAACAAGCAAAACAAAAACATTGCTCCAAATATCAGGTTGGATTCAGAGCTCTCTCAGATCTTAAAAATGCATTCAGGAAGGGTTCCCGTCTTAGTTTTAGGCCCACGCAGAACTGTTTGAGATGGCAAACATCGTATGAGCAGCCCAGTCACGTTTGAACTACGCAAATATGGAACATCACAATAAATTGCTTAAACATAAACCAGCAATGTTGCAGACTCAGTTTCTGAAAGGGCTTCTGATGAAATCAGGGATTTTTGTTCACAAAGTTTCCAACTAGACAAACTTCGGCCAAGTCTCAAAACTGTGACAAAAAGCACCTTTGACACAACAGCCGCAATGAGCAGGTAATGTTTCAGATCTCATCAGCTGCACAGCTACCCTGGCATTGCCGTAATGGGGACCCGTCCACAGCTCCTTTGTGTTCCCCCAGGTTTTGGGGCACCCTTGTCAACATTGTCAGATTGGCGACGGGGCAGGATGACAGGGCTGTGATTGGGAGAGAATTACATGGTATAAGACGAGTGTGTGAGTCAGAGAGGGAGACAAAAAGTGGTAATAACAGGCTGTGTTAAAGAAAAAAGACGAGTGGCGTTCACCCCTGTAGCCCCCTCATTAGAGCTGATCATGATAATCATGGCTGCTATTGATGTGCTGTGACCCTGACATGGGGAAAACGCATGCTCCTCCCTCCATCTGTTAGTGTATGTTTTGTGTGTGTGAGTGGGGATTTTCTGTTTATGTTGTCACACTGCGAATATCAGTGAAGTGTCTGTGTTGATTCATGTGGCCCAGCAGCAGCAGCAGCATGTCTGTCTTTCTGAGTAGAAGGAGTGACACTCTCCTCCGACAGCGTTAGTATTAAGCTAGAATTATCCTCGCTCTGAGCAGTCGTCTGCCACAATGGGCCTGGTAAACACTGCGAGTGTCCCATGCTTTTATCAAGCACACAGAAAAAAGCCTTAAACCATAACACAACGATATTGCAGTGGACAATGGCAAAATACCTTCATTTCCATTTGAAAACAAGCTGTCTAGCCCCAGGCGGACCTAAATTGCCGCAACCGTTTGTTAATGTTCCTCAGTTTTGCAATTTAAAAGTAATTACTTCGGGTCCGTATGAGGGAATGAGGTCTGGTAAATAGAGTTTGGTTATTGTCTTGGCTCTATTGCACCCCACTGTCTTAGATAGTGCAAGATTGTGGGTATGTGTTTGTGTGTTTGAGTGTGTTCCCCGGCACGTATGCGCCGCATGAACCCAGGAAAAAGGGAGGCAGTGCGGGTTGTCCATTCGTTGATGGCCCTGTCACTGTCATATCCATTCTCATTACGCTGTGACATTCAGGTACACACCGGCGCACTCATACGCACACACACACACATCTCACACAAACACACAAGCTTGCTGAATGTCAGGCCGTAATGAAAGTGGATATGAGTGAGACAAGTAATTCACAGTCGAACCTCTAAATACACACGAGGAGAGACGTAGCTTGGCTTCATTGTGTTGTATTTGTGTTGATTTGTGCTTTACATTATTCACTCTCTTACTCATTTAGCGCTCAGCTCCCCTTGTGCAGCGTTCCATCAACACTGATTTCTGTTTCCACCTTTCTTTTTTCCACTATGACACTAGAGGCCCCCTTGCACATTATCCTGCCCTCGCTGCACGCACACACACCCCCACCATAAATGCACAAGCGCTCAAGCGCATGTATACAAGCGCTTAAGTAGAGCATGAGAGAAAACAGAGCTGTGTCTGTTTGAATAGCGAACAAACACATCTGTCAACTGTTGTGAAGAGCAGAGACAGACGCTGAAAGAAATTATTAGATTAGACTCTATATAAGACTGGATGATCCCATTTGTATTTGTCCAAAAATGTCTGAATACAACCTTGGGTTTATTACACCAACTCTGAAACTGTCGTCTGTCGTGACTGGCCACGTAATGGTTTTGATTTACTGCGTGAACGTGCATATACTAGTAGTACTCAGTTGCCAGTATTGCGTTGTATACAATGTAATACAACAACTGTAATAAAATCTACTTTCATGTAGCTTGTAATGTTCAGTTTTTGTAGAAACAGTTGTTGAAATCTTTACGTTGATTTTGGAGGCTGCAGTTTGTGGTGCTATTGAACTGTATCGTCTTATATATGACGGGTGTTTCTATTATTTTGTCTCATTTTGTCCTTCGTTGGCATACTGTATGTCAAGCGGCAACAGCACCCAAACTACTATCTCCAAAATGAGTATAAAGTTGAATCAAAATTTTCTAAAACGGTTTCAACAAAAAATTAGAATGAAGCCTTCATGAAGATTTAATGCCGGGTTGTTTTATTAGACCTAATTTGATTTAGCTCGATAAATACAATTAAGTGGTAATTGACTATATATATACGATATTGTACACCCATTCGGTATCAGTGACTGCTATACATAAAAAAAATAGATTTCAAATTGATGATATTTAAGCAGTTTGACAAATGAGAATTAAATGAGGCAAGATGGATTGTAACTGATCCGGTCTTTCCAACATTTTCCAAAGTACATATAATAGGGCTAAAATATTAAGGCAAAATAAACCTTTTATTGAAAGTTACCTAAAATTGAAAATTAAACCAATAAGCAGTAAATTGTGAAGCGTAAGTTAAAGTTAAATTATTGGCAACCATGAAGGAAGGTTTTGAGTTTAGATATAGATTTAGAAAGATCATCGCAGAAGTTTTTCCCAAGTATGTAACTGATCAGTTTGTGAAACTCTGTGTTTTTGACGTTTGCAAGCTCCTTTAGTTAACAGAGCCTCCTGCTTTCCTATTAGTAGCTAAAGATCACATGGTTTGACATTTAAAGGCTAGGTGAGTGGTAAATAAATGAGACTGAGAAGGTTCAGAGCACATAAACTCTCTTGAAAGCTATGAGAGATTGATTTTCAAGGTAAGTGGACCGGAGCTTATAAGTTCAGCATTTTGGGAAAGATGGGAAGTGATGTGTAATGCTCTTTTCACGGCTGTCTCGGGGAGTTGGCTTCAGGGAGTATCATCAGGTTTATTAGCTGAGTGAACTCCTGGTTAAGTCGATCACAAGTCTGTAACTTCTGTCACAGACCAAAGTTTAACTTTTTTATGCGTGGACAGTGAAGTGAGGTCAAATCACAACCTGAAGCAGGTGCTGAGGTGCATTTTCACAGCATGACGAATGATCCATATGTTGTAATTACATAATTATACATTTGGATACCATAATTATTCCAGGTGCTTATTGCTATGTTTGCAATATCATTTTGAGACCATAGGTTGTCATGCTGTCAGCCTACACAGACTCATCTGTCAATCATAGGTGTAGCATCATGGCAGGACACCAAACATACAGATAAAACTTCTGTGTTTGGAGGGGTTTTATGGGAACCACAAAGGATTCCTGCTAAGTGATGGAAACGTATTTCTTCGATGAACCAAACTTTAGGATATATTCTGTATAGATATGTATCCAAGTATGGTATTTTTTTTTGTAGATGATTTGTCAAACATTGTAAGAAACAGACAAAAATAACAGAAAGGAGTGTTTTCCCTGTAGAAATATCTCCTGGTGAGAAAGGTTCCTGTGAGACTTGAAGCACTTTATTTTCTTAAGATGTGAAAGTTGTGCAACATGGGAGGCTGTCTGCAGGTAAAAATCTCTCTCCTGAAATAGTATAGATCCCAAATAAATAGATGCTACACCACCAGCACTGAGTTGATGGCATGTTATTTTCAAAATATTTGAAATCAGAGACCATTTAAGAACTTTTTATGACTACAAATTAGTATTCTTATGTTGGATAAGTAGTCTGTTATTATTGAATTCAATGTATTCTTATGTGTTAACAATCTACAAGGGTGTCATGAAATATTTTGGTGCCCATAGAGGGTAAAGTCATCATGTTACCCCCTGCTGTTTCTGTTCAAAAGTGGCCAATTCAAAATAAATCAGATGGTTTGCAAATTTAGTTTAGCACTACATGAGGTGTAATTGCACCCAGTGGCAGAGTTTTCACAGACGCCCATCAGCAATAAATACCTATAAACATTAGCTGGCTCGTCAAATATTCTTAAACAGACGGAAGCTATTTGAAGAACATGCGAGAATCGGGTTGCTTCCTTCCTTCCTTCTTTCCTTCTCTCTTGCCTATTAAAGTTATAACTCTAAAGATTTCAGTCCTGATTCATTACTGCTTTTAACAGCAAGTGTAGTTTAATATCACAACACTGAGCAGCTACTTTGTCAGAAATACAACAGAAGAGAAACCGGTTTGCAGTGCAGCCAAACAAACTCATTTTGGATTAATAAAGAAGTTAGTCAAAATTTGCCTTTTCCATCATACAATGAGCAACCACAATGTGATTTCAGTCTGTGCTCTTGTCGAGTAGTTTTTCACACAATAGCAGTATTCGGAAAAATTACTCTGCTACTGCAATATTTAAAACTGAACCGCTTTCAAAAAACGATCATGTGGCCACATTTTAGATGAACGAACGTGATCAGCCACTAACCTCTGAGAAGAAAAGCTCCCTGTGACTGCTTCACAATAAAAAAACACAACTTCTTTTGCCAGTTTAATGCATTCAATGTGAAGCAGCAGCAGCATTAAATGTGGCGGACTCCGCCAATATAAATGAAAACTACTATATAGAGAACCTATTACAGAATGTAAATGCATTTAATGGCTATTGGAGAGATACAGTTAATCATAAATAGTCTCAAAAAGGGGGTTCAAAAATCTTAAGCATTATAACTTTTAGAAGCATGTAATTCTTTACCTTATGTGAAAACTGAAAATGAATCACCTAGTTTGGAAATACATTGTTTTCCCTGGACAGTGATGTTGTTCCATCTCACTCATGGCTGATTAGCATTATAGTCACACAGTGTTTGATATATGAAAGTTCAAGCTGTTACTAATCTATGCTGAATTATTAAAAATCCCCCTACGGAAAAATCATTGATGATTTGTTTCTTTGTGCGAAACCAACAGATGGCATAAGCTCCCACTTTCCCTCTACGTGTTCTCACCATTTAAGGACAAATTTGACCAAACAGTCGCCCAAAAAACTTTAAAGTGCAGCCCAGTTTTCAGGGAGAACCAGCAGCACCAAGACTAGAGGCCCCTGGCCCTCTGCCCCTCTCCCAGTGCAGGACTCTCATTCTGGGCTGCATTTCCCCTGCTCGCTGCGTGTCAGCTAGAGTAATGAGATATTTAGCAGAGAGGGAAAGGGAGCTCCTGTCTCAAGGGGAATCGACTGCAGCGGCACGGCCCCAGAGTGACACTCTCCCTCCGAATGCAATTCTCCCATCGTCTCAGCTCCTTTATCTTTCGGCGGTCAGAATAAAGAGGGAAAATGACTGGTGGAGAGACGGAGTAAATATGCCCGAGCCGCCATCAGACAGGGGACATGCTCATTCCGCTGATAAAGTTGAGCCCCGGCCCACAAAGGAGGGGTTGTCTGGACGCACATACAAGCATACACTGTAAAAACAAAAATGTATTAGCTAGGCTGCCTTGTTATTGTACATTTACTGAATTGCCATTGGTTCTGATGTCACATTTGCTGAGCCTCAGGGTGTTTTTGTTTGATTTCACTCTCCTTATGTACAGGCATGCATTGCATTGTGACAGCATTTCTTAGCTAGCTGTGTTGTATAGTATTATTTTCAGGATGCTCAGAAATGCCATTATCTGGCATATGAGCGGTGCTACTCATGTTCAAGGGCACTTACTTGATGATGAAAAAGCGGTTTACACAGTTTGTTTGCAATGTTCTCCAAACACAGCAAGTACATGTCTACTGTAATGTACTGGTAGTGTAAATGAAAAGAAAAAGCCATGGATTTTGTCACTCCTTGTTCTTATTTCCATGATGAATTTGTTTGAAGTTTTAGCACTGCAGTTCCCATCATGCTTTGGGAGATTCAAACTGAACCTGTAATGTTGCCAATGAGTCAGCAATTAGCTGTTGGCTACACATGAGCACTTTTATATTTTGGCAAACCTACACCATGGAAAGTTATGCTGCGTTGTCGACTAGTCTAGTGTCTGTTTACTTTAAGAAGAAAGGTTTGATCTGGCACTAGGGATAAAACACACTTGACATTTAAGATATTAAGTGCAGCCGACATTTGGGATGTCATATTGTCAAGAGATAATCGCCCTGCTTGGTTTGCAATAAAATGTTATCTTCCAGTAGAGTTTCAGGAATGGCTCTTCTTACATGACATCCTAACCTGCTGTAGTCGTGTTAGCATCCACTTTGTAATCAATATAAAACTTAAATTTAGCATCAGTTAGCTGATGTAACTTACAGGTAAACACTTCTCTAGTCTTAAATCAATAAATGAAATTATCCCAAATTATTAGCGATCTGTCAGGCATGCCCCTAACTTTCTTCTTCAGGCTTCTTAAATGTGCTGCTTTTCTCCATTTTATATCATTGTAAACTGAAAATCTCTAAACTGAAAGTTTTTTACATTTTATAAATGATATTATTGATTTGTTGAAGTTGCCATGAAACTGACATGTTACATAATTGCATACATTCACGTTGATTAGACTAAATTGATTTTACAGCGAACGTACTGATCCAAAGTCTCTCTCACGTGCTCTCAAGAAACACTTACACTTATTTTACTTTTACGCAACACACCTGAACCTGTACAGACACATTTTCATATCAACATTCACCCACATTCACTCTGTTACACACACTTGACATATATCTCAGCTCTGACTGTGTGCTGCGCAGTAGCTGCAAAGTAGCCAAATCCCTTCTCTCCCCTGCCGAGTGCGGATCGTGCCTCGAACTAAATGTTTCAATCAAAAGGTTTTTATTCTCCTGTGGCAGATTGCCTTTGTTTCGAACGGATTTGCCCCTAGTTAGGCTTTGATTGCAGCGTGTGAGTAATGGTGTGGTGTGATAGATTATGACTTGTTTCAGCTTTGCTGTGTTTCAGCCGTCGCTGCAACTTTCATCCGGAGCGTTGTGTTGTTTTTTTTTTTTTTTTTTTTTCCTTCTCTGCATGTGACAGTTCATTCATCTGACACATTCACACACTCACACACACACTGCTGCTCCGAGGAATTGAAATTCGGACAATTATATACACTTGTGATTGTCCAAATCTCTAAATCTTCCTTTTGCCCTCTCAACCTCTCTTTCTGGTCATCCTAATCTCTCTCTCTCTCTCTCACACACACACTAATATGCACACACACGCACACAGATCTCAAGTCTCTCTTCATATGAGATGATGAAATAGTTGGAGAACTCAGGAAATCTGTTTCTGGTGAAACCGTTCTGGACTCAGAGATAACTGAACCCTTGTGGGGGAAAGAAGAAAGCCCACTGGCTTTAGAGTCAAGTTTCCTGTGTGACTCTGTCACTGTGCGCGCGTGTGTGTGTTTGAGCACGCGAGAGAAAATTTTACACGGCAGTTTTCATTGAGAAAAGATTTTCTTTGCTGATGTAAAGTTTGTTAATGCGTTGATTCTCTTGTGTGGTTGTACTCTTGTGAGTCCTTAGGTGTGTTTGTGTGCATCTGTGTGTATTTTGTGTATGTGCAAGTGTGTATATGTCCTTTTCCCCATCTTCATGAAGACCTTAATTTTCATTTAGTTTATTAATCAAGTGTGTGTGCAAGTACAAACCTGATTTCCTAATTATCTCCTCTTCTCTTCCTTTTCCAATTTCTCTTTGTCTCTCCTCACTTTTTCTACTCCTCAACTTTCTTTTTTTCCTTTACCTGTCCTTTCTTCCTCATTCTCTTCTTTCTGATTTCTCTCTCTGTTGTTGTCTTTCCATGACTCTGCTCATCTTCTTTTTCCTGTTTTCTTCCCCTCTATTCCTCATCTTCTATCCATTTCCTCTTCCCTTCTTTCCCTTCCCCTCATGTCCCTCATTTTTCTCTCATTTTCTCTTTTCTCCCTTATCCTTTCCTTGCTTGTCTTCGCTCTATTCTTTCTCCCATCCTAACCTACCCTCCCCCTCCTCTCTTCTTTCTTTCTTTTAATTTTCTCTTATCTCTCTTTTGCCTCTCCTCCTTCTTTATTTCTCCTCTCCTTTCCCTTCCTCTTGTTTCTTTTTTCCTCTCCTTTCTCCGCTGCTGTCTGTTCTCTTGTCCTCTTCATTCTTTTCCCCTCATGTCTCCCGGTCTCTTCTCTGCCTTTATCTCGTGTCCTCTCTTGTCTTGTCTTGTTTTTTGTCCTTCTTATCTTTCCTCTCTGCTTTCTATTTCCTCTTCTCTCCTTTCCCTTCCTTTTCTTTCCTATTTCCTCCCTTCTTTCCTCTCCTGTTTTGTCTCCTCTTTTTTTCTCTGCTCTTCTTTTCTCTTCTGTCTTGTCCCCTCTCCTTCCTCTGCTTTCTCCTTTTCATCTCTTCCCCTCTCTTTATTTCTCCCATCTCTCCGTTCCTCTCCTCCCCCCTCCTCTCCTCCTCTTCCTCCCCTGCAGGGCTGCTCGTCTCCCATAGTGGTGAAGTTCGCCGACACGCAGAAGGACAAGGAGCAGCGGCGTCTGCAGCAGCAGCTGGCGCAGCAGATGCAGCAGCTCAACAGTGCGACCACCTGGGGGAGCCTGACGGGCCTGGGCGGCCTCACCCCGCAGTATCTGGCTGTAAGGAGAGCCGCCGCGTCGCCCACCTCCACCATCACCTCCTCCACCCCTTACTGCAGCCCCATGGCCAACGCTGCTGCAGTCAGTGCCCCAATCAAAAACATCCAACTTGAAAATTCCCAAAATACTCTCACTGGCTTCTTGTCTCTTCCTCCCTTCTTCCTTTTGTTCTGTAATTCTTCCTTTAGCCCTGCCATTGTTCCTCTCCTCCATCCTTCTCTTGGGATTGTAGCGTAGAAAGGAAATGAGGTCTCTGAATGGGGTCTGAGGCTGCCAGAAGCCAATAATAATATTGTTTATTTATGTATAAAATGAAAAATTGGTTACAGCCTCTTGTGCTGTATTTTAATCCTTTTTAGACAATGTGAAAAACCCAAAGACAAACTAAACTCACTGCAAGGACACATTTAGGAAGATTGCTTTATTGTGATTGCAAAGTAATAATCACTTTTTTGGCTTGTTATATTGATCTTACCAAATATTTTTTTACCTAACCCTGTCTCCTGGAATTACTTTTATGTAGCCTGCTACTAATTTGGTTTGGTAAAGTGGTATTGTCGCCCAAACCTAACAACCTGACGGATGCCTTTTCCGTGCAGTACACTTCATGGACTAAAGAGAAGTAATACAGTGTATAAACATAAATTCTAGGACACCGGGTTGCCTTATCAATGTCCACTCTGGACTTCTGTCTTATGCTGCGTGTTGCCGTTGTCCAGTGAAAACCATATGCTGTGTCTCCAAATTTTGTCTTTTTTAAATGTTGACCTAAACTGAAGGATTAAGCGTTTTGTTTACTGGCTGACAACGCTCTCCTACTTCTTAAGCTAAATAAAACATTAAAAAACCCATTAGATTAACAGAAAAATGTGGGACAGGGTTTTCACAAGACAGCGACAGTGGAAACAATAGTTGAGAGTAAAGCTTGTTTCTAAAATAATTCTTCCAATGTATTCACTAATTCTGGTAAATTCTCATGTCTTTTTGGGGATTAAACAAAAGGTTCTTTGGCTGGGGACAGTGTGAAGCCCCTGGGGAGTCCACTGATCCCCAATTTGAGAAATCTTGCAGTAGAAGCTCGGCTGCACAGCATCTGAGATTCTCATCGGTTGATTTGTTTGATTGGGTCTTTTTTTTGTTGTTGTTCTAAATTAGGGTTCAGAAACCTCATTGCCTCCTTTTGTCTCTGCAGTCCTTTGCCTTTTCAGAGGCAAATACTCAGATTTCCTCTTGTAAAAAGTTTGGGCACTAACCCTTGAGTCATTTCTCTTCAGTTTCTAAATTAGCAACCCCAAAAAACTTCCCCTTAAAATCCACATCTCAAATGTCTGGGATTCGATTCTCAAATTGTTTGCGAGTGCAATTAGCACCTGTCTTTTCAACGAGGAAAAACAGAGCTCAGACAAACATTTCTCCTTTTCTGGATATTGATTTATTTTGGAGGGGGGAAAAATTGAGATAAGAAGCGTTTTCCTGAATTTGGCTCCCAGATTTTTCTGCTCTTTTTAAATCCTCTTTCTCAGTCTTTTGAAAAGATTAAACTCTATTCTGGAAGAAAAAAAAATCACACAATGGAAACAAGATGTTAATTTGCTGTTAATTCAAGTCTTTGAAGGATGAGTTTTTGACAGCATCAGTATTCCACTTTTGTTTTGGAATCTAATTAGTCGGCTAGATTAGAGCTTTCATGCTCAACTTGTCTGGAAGAATCATAGTGGAATACAAACAGAGTTCGCTTAGAGGAGAGATCAAACTATATTAGCAGCTCATTTACTCATCGAGCATTGAGGCAAAAACCACATTGCTAACCCCGCTCATTACGAGTTTAGCTTCTCATTGTAGCTTTGTATAGACATGTATTAAGCTTTCGGTGTCCACCCAGCTCACTTTGTTTCTCCCTCTTCTTTTTCCTCTGTCTCGTCTCCCCTCCTCTCTCTTTCTTTCTCTGTTTCTTGCCATCAGTTGCTTCAGCAGGCAACCTCCTCCGGTAACCTAGGAGCCTTCAGCGGGATCCAGCAGATGGCCGGTGAGTCAAAAATCCATTGATAAGCTCCCCTGAAACCACGATATATGACAGCAATGGACTCTTTGTTGCGCCTCTGTGTTATGTTTTTTTCAGAGACTTCTAAAAGACGACCAAAGAGCATAACAGATGAACTCGCGTGGTGGAGTAAAGAGAGCTCTTTGCCCTGAAGATTTATTAACTGTTGCTAAGAATTGTCTTGATCTTTTAATGAGGCCAGACAAGAGTTGTGCCCTGGGCGTGTAACAGTAGAACCGCGGCTTTGTAGGGATGGATGAATCACAGAAAGGAGGGAAGAAAAAGAAAATGGGAGTGGGAGAGAACGGAGAAAAATGTTTAAAAGTGTGCTCCTTTGGTGAATACAATGCACTGCAGGCTGGCGCCATCTACTGCTCTGCTACTGTGGAGGGTTTATGTGATCTGTCATCTGGACCTCTATATTTCCTTTCAAGAGCATCTGCAGGTTCAAAGCATATTTAAGTCTTTTATAGCCATTTTAATGCCACAAGAATTTAGTTTTAAGCCAATTTAAAGAAGAGAATAAAGAAATGAATGTGAATGAATGTAGCCAGTGAAAGTTTATAAACTCTAAATGGGTTGAATAAGAAAGGGGAAACAAGGAAATAGGAAATAAAGTGGTAAGAGACTGTCCAATTCTCGTAAGTGAAGCTGATACAATAAAAAAAAAGCATATTGTATTAACCCAGTTCTGTATTAATCTAAGCCTTGAGCGTGCCAAGAAGCCTCCTATTAAATGTTGAACAAGATAAAATCTCTGTCTTTAAGAAATATAATTTTTGGGGCTTTAAATTTAGGTTATTTAAGACTTTCAGGGACTCGTGAATACTTGCTTCTCATCATCTCTAACTTCTCTCTTTCCATTAAAGTCTTCTCCTCTTTCTCACCACTCTCTTCTATTTATTTTAAGCCTCTTTTTGCAGGCGCTCTTGCACCTCCCACCCTCTTAAATCACGGTTTCTTCATCTCACCTTTACGCCTCCCTCCAGCCTTCACACTCTGTCTATTCTACCCTCCTTCTCTCTTCTTCTTCTATCCTTCTGTGAGTTTCTCAGTAAGGTGTCAGGTCTTAATTGTACGCTGTTTAGTCAGTTGACACCGGGGGGGAACAGGATAAAGAAATTGCCAAGTTTAAAGTGGCGAGCCCTGTCTTGTATCCTCCAGTTTTCTGTCGTGTTCCCTTGAGTTACAATGCCTTGCAATTTCCCTGTGGCTGATTTACATTTTTGCCCACTCTGCTGTTGAGCTCAGACACACATTTCCTTACAAATACACACTCGCACAGATAAATAGGCTCTGGGATTTGGAACCATGGGTGAGTAACGGTGTCTGAATCTGGAGATCTGTTGGTCCTCCATCTGCGACAGATAGAGAGAGAGAGAGGGAGTGAGCATTAGTGATTGGCAGGAGATGTGACACAGCTGAATGACATCTGGTCCCAGTCTTTAACATGAGGAGCTGCAGAGCTGAGAGGCTTCAATTACACCAATGAGCATTCAATTAGACGCAGCCAACGCCAGCCTGGTGCAGCCCAGCTCTGCCATACAGGCTGTATGGAGCACACACACACACTTTCTTCATTGCACACATATGTACTCACAGTCGCTCACACACTCACGTACCATCTGCACAGCCCGGATACTCCAACTCTGATGTGGGAATTAGATTGTATTTGTCTCATACTGTCTCTTTCTTTGCCTTCTCTCTCTTTCTCTCTCTGTACGGCTTCATCTCTACTTTACTCCCCTCTAACCCACTTATTTTTATCTCCTGCCTGCTCCTTTTCTCCTTATAACTGTCTTCCAAATGTATGGTCAATGAGGGAGATAACCTTTGACAAATGCAAGTAAGAATTGGTGTAGAGCTGCTTTGGGGAAAACGGCATAACATGGAAAGAGAGAGACAGAAAGAGGTGCTGTGGGAGGAAGAAAAAAGAACAAAGGTACTGGCAAAATAGAAGGCCAGGGCGAAATGAGGTAAGGAAAAGATAGAAGTCGGGATACGATAAAAAAAAAAAAGGAGGGAAAAGGGCAATTATGAAATTGGGAATTGGAAGGGAGGATAGGAAAACAAAGGTAAAAGAGGGTTAAATAGAAAGAAAGGGGAGGTAGTAAAGGGGCAAGGAAGGAATGGACAGAAAGAAGGGAAAGGAAAAGGAAGTCCCAGAGGTTAACAAAACTAAATGTAAAAGAGAAGAAAAAGAAGGGCAAAGCAAAAAGAAGAGCAGGAAGAACAAAGATAGGAAAGACATGGGTATAGGAAATAGGAAGGCAGGAAAGGAAAAAGGGAAAACAGGGAAGTGAAACATAAAGGAGGGAAAAGACAGTGAAGGAAATTGAGGGGGAAATGGTAGAAATGTACAGGTAGGGACACAAAAATGGCAGGAAAGGAAGAGCAAAGCAATTGAAAAGATATAGGAGGAATTGGACGAGAGAAAGACGATTAAAAATGCTGGACAGGAATGGAAAGATGAAGAAATATGGGAATAGGAAGGGCAGGCAGGATTAAAAAAGGAGATGAAAGGAAAGAAAGGGTGAGTGAAGGAAATAGAAAAAGTGGAGTGATGAGGCAGAAAGGAACACACAAATGAAGAGGAAAGGGAAAGAAATAAAGGAAAAGGAAAACAGGAATGAAAGAAACAAAAGTTAATGCAAAAAGAAGAGAAAAAAGCAGCCAAGGTGAGGTGAAGGAAGTGAACAGCACAATGGCTCTACAGAGCTCTGCAGTTAATATTTGTTTGCATTGTAAACACACTGTGTCGAGAATGAGTCTCCACGAAGCAGCAGCACTGAAACTGCTTCTCGTCTTGCTCATGTGGAGCATTTTCTACCTTTAAAAAAAACAAAAAAACACTGCCTGAATTAGTGCGAGATTTGAGCGTGCATTTACAGATTGTGATGGAAAGAATGACAGCGACCGCTGTTTTATTCCCACCTTGCGTAGAAATAGAAATCCATTTTCGCTTTTGATGTATCACAGAAAATTGGAGAAAATCACTTTGAAAACAAGATTGGTTTTGGCTTCCATGCACTTGTAAGTAACCACAGATAAGTAAAAAAAAAAAAAAAAGTGGTTCATACAAATATACACGCTCATTACTGCAGGCACACACGCGTTTAACTTTGTTTTTCCACTCACACGCACTCTTGTCATGTGCATTCAAAAACTGGCAGTGGCCTTCTTTTTTTTTCATATTTAATTAACCAATCAGAACTGTGAATCCCAGTAATAAATCCAGCCATCTGTTGTCATTGGCTGCGTTCAGTTTGGTTGTCTGGGTGAAGGAAATCTCTGTTTGGATGTTACAACCTCAAACCATTCACCACGGTGTCAAAACAAGATGGATCTTCTTCATGGTGTCTTGTTTGTGTGTGTCTATTTGTGTGTGTGTGTGTTTGTGAGAGAGAGAGAGAGAGTGTGTGTGTGTGTGTGCGTGTGTGTGTATTTCCATGGTACTGTATATACATCCAGACTGTATATACGACACATACACCTCACATTGACAGTGTCCACCCTTTAACTTTTAACCTAACAAGCGCATGAGTCAGAGGAAGCTTCTCCGTGGTAAGAACAGCTTCGGCTCTGGTGACTGATTCTGTTTGCTTTATGAGGTTTTACTCTGATGCCTCGTAATGTTCACACGCTCACACACTTGCATTAACACACACATATTCATGGAGTAAGGTGAAAGGTTGAGTTGTACTCACAGAAGGTGTTTTATAGCCTTTGCTTCGCTATCATTGGGGTGTTGGCATGTAGTCATTAATTATGCTTAAGTACAGGCCTGTATGCTAATGCCAGCAAGCAGATTAACAATGAGGAGAGTTCAGCCTGCAGGTTTCCTGAACTACAATATGTCTGCTGAATGGGGCACAGTTTAATATTTAGTGAAATGCTAAAAGTCTCAATAACGTGCCGTTGTGAGCAGGACTTGACTGATACCGACAGGAGGCATAGCCATCATACTCTTAAATTTCAAAAGTATCATCAGCCTGTCAGGCAGTAATCATGACCCAGTATTATATATATGTAGAGTTTTATTGAGCAATTACACTTTTGTTTATAAAAGCACAATTTCTCTGAGCAAAGAAGAAGCTCTCGTTGAATCTGAAATGATATAATTGGCGAAAAAAGCCTGCATAACTAGAGTAGGAGGGTTAATTTCCTCCTGTATTTTTTTCCGAGTCTTCTCTACTGAGCTTTCCTGCTTAGATAATATAAGTTTAACTAAATCAGTGAGATTATTTCTGCCTCCAGAGCACCAAACTCAAACACTACAAAGTCTTCTTTTACTGATTTAAACACGTTTTGGACTTATTAGCTGCTGCAGTGTTTGCCTTCACACACAACAGGATCTTCACAGTGGCAAAGATACGTTAAAGTTGTCTAAAGGTAGAGCAGAAAGACGAGGATTATTTCAGCACAGTACATCCACACACACACGAAGCTAAATCGTGTTCAGGACTGTCCTCTGGTACACTGTCCCGGTCCAGCCAGGCGACCTAGCCACGCCTCAGCCTCGCTCCCCAGGTTTGACACCACCCTCTCTGGCTCCTCTCTCCAGGTATGAGTGCTCTGCAGTTGCAGAACCTGGCCACTTTAGCAGCGGCGGCGGCGGCGGCCCAAAACTCAGCCAGTCCCTCCACCGCAAACCCCCTGTCCTCCAACGCCGCCTCCCTGGGAGCGTTGGCCAGCCCAGGTAACACCGTAGCCACTCAGGTTGGGGGGTCCGACGCCGGGGGGGGCCAACGCCTGCCTACGTCCTCCGCTCTGCACCGTTACCATTACCAATGTTGTCGCCCCATGATCCCGGCACTTCACCGCCATCACTGAAACCATCAACCAATCATCGTTGCCGAAACATGACCATCTTCATTGTTCAGATCTTCGTCAGTGTTGTTGACCTTCTTTCCGGCACCCATGGTGTGTGTATCCACCGTCTCCGCTATTCAGACCTTCATCTCAATAGAGAAACCATGCTGTGTTGTTGATGCACTGCCTACCTGTGTCCTCCTGTCTTTGAACACCTTGACTTCCTCACCATGTGGCTCAACAACAATGCCATCCCATGAAACACGCACTGTATATGTGTGCGCGTGTGCATGTATGTGTGTTGCCGTGCTTAAATGTTTCCGTCAGGTACAGATCCGTGTGTTTTTGTGTTCTGTTTTTAGTGATTTCTTTGTGTTTGTGCCTAACCTCGCCAGCTCTAGAGAGCCATGTAGAAGCTTCAGGACAGTAGATTTGTTGCTTCCCGGCGGACGGGGTTTGTTTGCATCTGAATGTGTTGGTGTTTTGTCTCTGCTCATGACTGGGGGGTTAAAAACTACCAGGTTGATGTCTGAACTCAGCTCGGGTTAAATATCGCCACCTTCAGATTCTCTTCTTCATTTTTTTCCCCACACTGCCTCTCTCCTCCTCTCCTCCTCCTCCTCCTCTCCATGTGTTCCTTCTCGTTGCCCTCGTCTTTTGCTGCTGCCCTCCTTTTGACAAGCTCCCTGTTTCTGCTCCATCATTCTCCCCTTTCATGTCGGCTCGTCCTCGCTCCAGCAGCCATGGTTTTGCTGTCTCTTTTGGAGCGCACTCCCAACAGAGCATGAATATGAAAAGCCCCCCCCACCCCCCCCCCCCCTTAACACTTGCGCCGCTTCCATCCCACTTCCTGTCTCCATCGAGCCGGTTCACACTGGCGTGAATGCCCGCTCTTGTCTTGTCTCTCTTACTCTAATTCTCTCCGTAATTTTCACCTCCTCTCTCTTAATCCAGCCTCTCTCTCTCTCTTTCTCTCTGACTGACTCTGAATGTCAGTCCAACCTTGAATAGTACTCAGGTGGAGCTGCTCAGTGTGAATGTGTGGTGCTATACTGCATGTGTCAATGAAACTGAAAACGTCACACCAGTTTGATAAATATAGACAGTTCTGCATGGAGACAGGCCAGCGTTTCTGTTTTGCACCATGTGCCGACATAATGCTCCCTTTATCACACCATTTCTTAACATATTCAGCGGCAGTCCTGCTTTGTTGGCATCGCTTTGATGAGATCAAGGGTAAATTAATAGATTAAATAATTTTTCTTGTCTAAAAAGCAGAGCGAGGTTGTGAGCTTTGTGCACCATACTTCCTGCCATCTCACCCACCACCACCACCACCACCACCACCACCACTGACATAGCAGTTCATGTATGGCACACATTTCACATCGGTGTGTGTCCAGGTGTATGTGTGTGTGTGTGGGTTTGTGTCTACTGTGTTGAATAGTGTGTTTTGGTGTCAGTGACAACATGACCAACAGATTGAAAACCAACTGTGCTCAGGGAAAAGTAATTTAAATATACCTGGAAAAAAAAGAAAGAATTCCAAAAATTTTACAATCATAAACATTTCTGAAACATTATTTGCAAGCGTAAAAAGTCTCTTCTGGTTGTGCTCTTGCCTTTCTGTACATATGTCTGCTTTTTGAATGCAATTACAGCATCACCTTGAATGTAACAATCTTCCAATGTGCCTGCTTTTGTGAATATCACCTGGTCCAAAACAAACTGTATAGCTCTTTTCATGTACATTGGGGTTTTTATATGTAGGGTCAAGGTGGCGAAACTTGTTAGATTAATTAAAGGTGCTACTTGTCATATTTTTAAACATCAGCATACCAGAGAATCTGCGGAGACACACTATAGATAAATAAAAGAATGAAATCAAAAAAATCCCTTGAACTCCAATGCTTCTTGTCAGGGAGAAATTTCTAGTTATGTCCATTCAAGTTGGCTCTACTTAAATGGTGAACATATGGTGAAGTGATTTCTCCTTCAGCCTACCAACGTTACTCTTTGTCATCAGAAAGCTTTAGCTCTTGTGGAACTACCCACTTCCTGCAAATCTCCTAACAAATCTAACCAGACACATCTTAGGAACTAGAAAACATTAAAAGAGTGCACGGTATGTATTTTAATAATGGAAAATCAAATTTCACAATCAAATTTAACCTGCACCTGGATTCGGATCTGCATCAAAAAAACACATAGGCCCTAATCGTGATGATTGCTATAGTGCTTTGTTTCAATTTTGACAAAATGTTTTAGTCAAATTCATGACCACTGATTTATGGATATTGAACATTACCTTCCCACTGTACCATTCAAAACAGTTGAAAATCTCTTCAGGCTGAAATTGGTGTGAACTACAAACCTTTTGTCTTGCTTTTTCAGAGTGAGGAGTACTAGCAAAAGGTAGCTTTATCTCCAACAGAACGTAATCAGGAATCAACTTTCCACCAATTTCTATTAAAATCTTTTGAAGTCCAATATCCTGCCAACTTATAAAGCATCCTTCGTAGCTGTAGGAATGTAGGGGCAGGCTGCCAGTCTTCTCATTCAGTTTTTTACTGTGCATTTTTCAAAATGATGACAATTTGCTGATGTTAAATTGTACACGTGGCACCTTCTGTATAAACTCATGTATTTAATAAGAAAGCCTTCACCTCTGCACAAGGAAACTTGAGATTAGTTAAATGCTCGTATGACAAGTCTGTTTCTTTGTCTCCTATTTTCCCTCCTCACCTCTGTCCTTATCCCTCCTTCCTCTTTTCACTCTATTCATCTTCCCCTCACCAATCCACCCTCCTTACCTTCCTTTACCTTCCTTCCCTCCTCCCCTTCCCTCTCTCTTCTTTTTTTCCCGCAGCTGCGGGCACAACAGCCAGCTCCAACGCCGGCGCCATGAACTCTCTGACCTCTCTGGGCACCCTGCAGGGCCTGGCAGGCGCAACTGTGGGCCTGAACAACATTAATGCACTAGCAGGTAGCATCAACAGTGAGTATTCACCATGCCATCAGCCACTCCACCTTCACCTACACCTCCACTTCCGACCATCCACACCCAACGGCAACATCACTACCACAACCTGTTAGTCGATGCAGAGAGACGCCGTGTTACAGCTACCTGATGCGGTGATCATTAGAGTTTGACTGAAATGGGTTTTTGAAGTCCAATTTCTTTTACTAAAACAGACAATTTCTCATATTTAATCTTTAAAGTTGACAAATTTAAAGAAAAGAATCACTAAAACTCATTACATTATATTGAAACTTGTAAAACAGAGTTTGTACTAAAAATAAAAACACACTTGAGTGTATGATAAAACCCATGCAGTTGTCCAACTCTAATCTCAATGGCTGTGCAGAATTGTATCATAGTCTACATGGAAATATATTTTATACACTAAGTTTACATACGTAGTAATTTGTAGGATGAAATTGGGCACTCATCTATCAAATTTTATTTATTTATAATTTATTTATCGTTTATTTAAGACATTAAAGTTCATATTTTGCAAAAAAATTAAATAAGAAAAAGGCAGAAAACATAATAGATAAGATGATAGATAATTTTTTTACATGTATTCATTTGAATGTGTATTTTTGAACAAACTACAAACCAACCTACTACACTTTGGAGTTTGGTTCTTCCTGTTGTCTCTCTGTGTCTCAGCTTCACTTAAACTTAAATTGTCCTCACTCTCTCAACGACGGCTACCTCATTAATTCATTTGGCCGCAGATATTTCATGCATTCATCCACCCATTCCTCCATCTCTCCATCCGCTTCCTGGTTGTGTCCTGGGTTATGCTTGCTGTAAGAGTGCTGCTGTGCCATCCCGGCAGAGCTGGCGTGCTGCTGTCACCTCACGTGACTGTCTCTGTGTGTGGGACCATGTTGTAGTTGTTTCATATTGTTGTTGTTGTTTTGCTGTGTCATTGTTGTGTTTTCTGTCATCTCTACAAGGGGTTTGAACATTAGAGGGTGGGTGGTGATGGGGCAGTGGATACACTACATGCCTTTGGTGTGAGAGACCCCGGGTTAAATACCCACTGTGACACATCCACCAATGTGTCCCTGAGCAAGACACTTAACCCCTAGTTGCTGCAGAGCCGTGCAAACTCAGACATTTGTAAGTCTTTGGATAAAAAGCGGCAGCTAAATTAATCAATGTAATGTAGAGGGTGGCAAAAAAGAACATTTTGTAGACAGTTACTATTGTGTACTGTCATGTCATTCTGAATTTGAACCTTTTCATGACAAAATTTTATAATTCTCCTGCCAAAAATGGCATGTTTCAGCAAAAAAGTGTTTTCAGTTTTATGCCAAAACTGCATAATTTGATTATTTACATGCCAAAAAAATTACAAAATTAGACAACTTTTAATGCAAGACAACACAAATCTGTCAATTTACATACAAAATATGTACATTTTTGTGCCAAAAGATACAAAATTTGACAATTTTCCTTCCCAAAAAGTACTACGCCTGGCCACTTACATGCCAAAAAAATTAAATGTGACAGTCTTAATGCTTAACCCAACGACAAATTGACAATTTTCATGCCAAGAAAACTAAATTTGACCATTTTCATGGAAAAAAAAGTTAAATTTTGCTTTTTTTAATGCCAAAAAATATAAATTACACATTATCAAGCCAAAAATTTACCTTTTGCATGCCAATAAAATATGAAACTGCAATATAGTGAGTTTAGTTTTATGATAAAAAGCATTTGTAGGGCCACTGCGTTAGCATCAACTGCACAGCCTGTGTGATCGACCAGCGTTTGCCGAGCTGTGCGGCGTGTGTCCTGCCTGTGACCTCTGGGGAGACGAGGCTGGGATCTTAATCGGCGCTGTTATTACAGCAGAGATCCTGTACTACCGGCCTCTTCCACCACATTATTCTCCTCTGACCTTTACCGCTCCTCGGCTGGAGTAGCTGTATCCGCTGTGTAAATCATATACGCGTCTACTTGAGAGCACACAGGTACAGAAACACAGACATGTACACACACACACACACACGCACAGGAGTCGCTTTGGTTTTGCATCCTATTTCGTCCCGGCTACCCCTTTGCTCCTCGTTGTACCCCCTCCTCATTCCTACCCACCACCACCGCCATCCGCCCTCATTTAAACACATCTAGGCCTTAATTGAATTGCAAAGGTCACCAGTGCAATTATTCCTGAATAAATGAGTGACCTATAATCCAGAGCTCTGCGGTGATAATTTATTTCTCTGTGTCTGACGGTGAGGCGACAGGACGCCGAGCCAATGTCAGACCCCCTCAGACAAGTTGCCCTCCGCCGTGATATTAAGCTGTTACAAGCAACTAATGAGTGTTACTGCTGCGTTCCTTCACTTTTTAAACCTGATGCCCTCACCCCCCTCCCCACACACCCCTTTCCACGTGCTTGTCTTCGCCCCTAAAGTGAGACGTCACAGGCTGGAAAACCACATGAAATCACACCTCGCTGATGATATTTGACTTCGCTGTTCTGAATGTATAGTAAGATAATTCTCCATGCTTAGAGCTCATACTTCACAAACCATTATGGGATTTCACACATCAATACAAATACAAATTATGTGGAAACGAATAAATATTTTAATATCTTTCTTCGTCATTTTATAAGGGTGTCTTAAAACAGCTACCTGCATGTCCTGTACTGACCACGTTTATATTTGGGATTATTTTTTACGTAAATAAAGCACCACCAAGGATTTCATTTGTGGAAGGCAATACGAAACAAAGTTCTTTACATAAGGCATTAAAACTGAATAAAACTAACATTAAATGGATAAAATGGCAGACTAACAAAGGAAACAGAACAGCAAGAGATGTGAACAAATACAATATTATACTTTGTATCTGAAAACAGCGCTCGGTTTAATATAACAGAAGTTTGATGAGTAGACTGAGACCACTTTCATATCTGTCCATCAAGTATGAAGCTAGAGCCAAGAGTGTTTTTGTCATTGCAATGTGTTTGTAGGCTTTAGAGATGTTTGTAGGCGTGGGTCTTCAATGTGAGGGCCTCACAATAGACAATAAAAGAAAAAATATTCAAAACTGAAGCCGTAGAACCAGAGATGTCATCACGATTAGTCCCTTTTAGAATCGTTCTTTCTCCAGAAACGCAGCATACTACAATACCATGAAATGCTAATGGATTGCGTGTTTTCCTTAGGTCCTGGACATCAATTGTAGATTTTAAACCTTGTTTTAAACCACTTTTAGTATTAAGCAGTGCTGTCACTAATGGAGTAAAAGAAGCCTCCTGCTAATGAAGATGCACAAAAGCTCTAACAGGACTATTTAAATGATTGAATTGGGGGCCAACAGGGAAAATGTGCCCCTTTAGGTGACCCCTGCATTACTATCCATGTCCCTGTCAGTGGGTTACAAAGTGTTCCTTCACATGATCATTCTGGTGTTTTTGTGTGTGTGCAAGCATCGCTGTGTGCTTCTGATTTTTGAGTACACCTGTGTGCAGCTCTGGCTGTCATCAGCTACGCTCATACTGCATTTTATTGTGTTTGAACTGATACTTTGTGTGTCCTGTGTTCTGACCTGTTAGCTGTCGTGTTTCGTGCATAAACAAAGTATTGATGTGTCTTTTGTGTGTGACGTGACACGTGTGTAGTCTGTGTGAACTGTCTGTGTGTGTGTGTGTGTGTGTGTGTGTGTGACGTCTGATAACAGTTGTATGTGTGTGTATGTGTGGTAAAAACACAACCTCAGTGGGAGCGCTAATGAGTAAGTGCACTCTTCTTTCTTTATTGTTGGGTTTTATGTAAAGTTGCTCAAATGCTCTCAGGTATGGCGGCTCTAAATGGAGGCCTGGGCGGCGCAGGGCTTACCAACGGGACGGCAGGCACCATGGACGCGCTGACGCAGGCTTACTCAGGGATCCAGCAGTATGCCGCCGCAGCGCTGCCCACCCTCTACAGCCAGTCCCTGCTTCAGCAGCAAGGGGCTGCTGGCAGCCAGAAAGAGGGTCAGTAGCCTGGGGCCATCTGCCTGTACATCACTGCTGCTCAATGGGCCTTCAGTTTCAGACTGTTTAGTTTTTCAAAAACATGCATTCAGTGTTTCCAACGGGATTTTCTCTGTAGAACTGCAAATAGACAAAATGAGATTTAAAATCGTGTCTGATACCTGAAATGTTAATTCATTGTAGTGCAATATCGAGGTAAAATGTCATTAATGAGTCCTTTCAAGTGCGTCCCGTAGACAGTGAGTGTAGTTGTGAATATGAGTATTTATACAATAAATATGAATAAAAATGGAGCAGGACCCCAAAAAGTAAGTAATACTGTGTACAGCTCAGACAATGCTTCTAGTAAAAGGAAATGAAGAGAAAAAACACACAAATGTTGTGTATTGTTGATTTTGTTCTTGTATTTTATTCATTCTTTCTGAAAATATTAATATTAACTCTACCTCATACGCATACTGGATTGATTTCAGAATTTTAATTTAAATCAGTATAACCTCCACATTAAAAGACCGACATTTGTTTTCCAAACATACAAATGAGTAAATGTAAATACCAAAGCCGTTTTTCAGGTATAAAATTAACTACACATTTACCAATTTACAATTAAGTTGAGTCTTATTTTGAAGAAACCTCACATTACTTTAGTAGCACAAAATGTAGAATGTACAGTTGGTATGAATTAGTTGTATTAGTATGTTTGCACAGTTAATTGTCTTATCTAGTGGAAGAGAAGATGTAAAATTGATCAGCCTACATATCAGCGTCATTGCAAAACAAACCAGATGATGAAATGTCTAGTATGAATTAAGCCACACACTGTTTGTACGTTTTTTATCTCTGCGTCCAACGATCCATTTGTAAAGATGCTTTCTTTCTTTAACAATCCATCCAGGAAAATCACGGGGAGACAAAGACGAGACAAATATCAGGCTCCCTCCCAGCTTCATTTATCAGTGGAGAGCATATTTAATAATTCTGAGAGATCGGACCTAGTAGGATTATAGGGATGTGTGGTAGACGAGAGCCGACCTGTGACCTCTCTTAAGAGAAACAACATGCCGCTGAGCGAATGAATTAATCAAAAGCAAGGGAACAGGGAACTTCTTTTGTTAGTCGAAAGCCAAAAGCTCTCATCTTTGTTTAATGTCCAATACAATTGCAGAATGTTGTTTAAAAGCAATAATAAACTCAAGGTCATGCGATATTGTGCTAAGCAGTGTGCTTCAGCTGCGTTCCTATGACGACAGCACAACAGCACCAGTTGCCACAATGCAGCGCTCCCTCCCTCTCCTGCAGTTTTGCTTAATGAAAAACCACTCTGACCTTATACCTGCTCTGCATCTCGTCCCGCCAGGTCCCGAAGGTGCCAACCTGTTCATCTACCACCTGCCCCAGGAGTTTGGAGACCAGGACATACTCCAGATGTTCATGCCTTTCGGAAACGTGGTCTCTGCCAAAGTCTTCATCGACAAACAGACGAACCTTAGCAAGTGCTTCGGTACGGCAACAGCACGGGCGTCGGTTTGTGCTCCCAAAAAGGGAATCGCACACAAATGCCTGCTGTTATCTCTTCTTTTTACTAGCTGTGTCCCACTTTAGGGGCTGGATACTCTGAAGGATAGGCTGAGTTGAATTCCATGTTCCTGTCATTTTGGAATTATTGTTAACAACCAGTTTACGGCTTGTTAAGAGCATTCACCTCAACATTGAAGTCATTACAACTGGAAAACTCAGATATTGGGACAAAACTATTCCAAAGTGCCTGAAAAGGCAAACAAGTATGGATCCCTCACATCAACCAAAGTCTGTCTGGGAATCCTACATGACATGAACATGAAAAGAGACTGTCCTGCCCAAAAAAATTAAGAATTCAGGCTCTCCTCATCAACTTATAAAGTCTACCCCTGAGAAGTTGTCCTCAAATAGCCAGTGGTAGACTAACCATGTCAAGGCAGATAACAAGAGCAAAGCTAGGTTTTTGTGTGGCTTACTTTTTTAACATCTATCAGTGGCCTATTCTGTTGTGTAAAACACTTTGTTTCACAGATGTGTGTTGCTGTTCAATTCCAGTTAATTGCCAGCAGAGCTACTTTTGGTCAGTGCACGCCAGGTCACAGCTGCACACATGTCAAATTTGGTCACAGGCATGAATGAATATTCCAATAACACAAGAATATTTCCTTGAGTTTAAATGAGTTCTTGCAATTGCAGTGAATCCCTCTGGAAATCAATAACTCCTCAGTATAAACTCAGTACAGCTAAACTCACATTAATGTCTCACACCATTGTCTCCATCTTCTCAAAAATTTGTACCAAATTACACAATTTATTAGTTAATTACGGAACCCGTCAAATAAAGCTTTACTGAAAAGTCCCACTACCTGTGATTGATGACCACTCAAACCCAAATAACAATTTTCCTGCAATTCCCTGTGATATTTCCAGACTTGACGAGGTGACAAGGATCATTTGAATCCTCCAGGAAACAAACGACAGACGCAAAATGGGTTGTGAGATATTGAGGGCTGCGAAGGACACACCGGTTGTGTCCTCCATATTCAGGCAATTATATCACTCAGCCACATTTATGGAAGCTGTTAAAATGGGACAAGCCTTGTTGGCCTGACTTAAAAGGGATCCACCCCTGAACTGGGACAGCAAGTGACTCCGTCCTGTCTGGTATTAACATTGTAGATGATTGGCATGTAAACAAAGTAGCACGAAAAAAGCTTCAAATACTTTCAAGGGTACTGTAGGTTTTCATTTGCATAGCATTTGTTCATGTTGACAACAAAACCTAAATATAATGCATCTCCATTCCTCGTGTAGCAGCTAAGGGAAAAGGAAACAAATCAAGCATGGATCTGAGAGGGAAGAGCACACAAACAGACAGCAGTGGTACTTGTCAGAAAATGGATTGCGAGGATGGATGTGAGACAAGCGAGACGAGGAGTTTACTGTCAGTTTTAGAGGTTGCAGATATTACGGGAGCAAGTGAAGTGTGCACAAACATGGCTTGCAGAGAGACAGCCAAAAAAATAAAACACAATATAAACTCACTGTCTGCTCCAAAATCTTTATTTTGATGTATTCTGACCAACAGTGGCCTTTGTCAAGTTCTGGTCAAAATGTTGGTGTAACATTTTTGGAGTGGATCCTGTGGTTTTACAGGGTTTTTTGTCTTCTTTTTAAGATTCATAGTATTTGTCTCACGATTTTACTGCCCTTATTTCACAGACTCATGAAGCTTCACATCGGAAGTGTCACTACACCCCCCCCCCCAATTTGTTTTACTATTATGTATATTCCATTTTACTTGGCTTTATTCTTTAATTATTTTGTTGAAGCAACAACCCAGTTCCCTCCAGGAGTCATTAAAGTTTAATCTTTTCTTATTGTGTACCAGGGGTGTATTTTATTTTAATGTAGATGTAAATGTAATACAGATAAATCAGATCTGGAGACACAGGAACATGGTGAGGGTGCCTCGCTTAGTATTTTTTTACATCAATTTTTTATTACACCTTAATTTTGAGACAGTATAGTTGCTGTAAATAAACAAGGTTCTTTAAGTAGGCGACTGTTGGTCTCCGCCTGTGTTTTATATGGTGCGACAGATGTGGAGGGAAATCTGCTGCACTGCTTTATGGCACAAAACAAAGAGAAAAGGCTGGAAAACATTTCAATGAAAATTCTTAATGTTAGACAGGGAACAGTGAGGATCATGGCAGATGTGGTCTTTTAAGAAATGCTGTCACAACTCAATAATAATAATTATCTCAATCATGGTTTAATTATGCCATCCATTCATGCGTTTTCTGCTGTTTATCCAGCTCAGGTTCACTAGCCCGTCTCCAGACCTCCGACTCGGCCAAATAGAACATGTTCATGACCTTAGTCTTTTCTAAGAGTGAAAGAAAGTGGAATTTATTATGGATCATTAGCACGGCTATGCTGGTTAGCTTTGCTTGCTAACTAACACATTACATCACATTTAGCTGACGCTTTTATCCAAAGCGACTTACAATTGCTATATATGTCAGAGGTCGCACGCCTCTGGAGCAACTAGGGGTTAAGTGTCTTGCTCAGGGACACACTGGTGGATGGTCACTGTGGGGAATTAAACCCTGGGTCTCTCACACCAAAGGCATGTGTCTTATTCCACTGCTCCATCACCACCCCCTACTTATTACACATTATACACATTAGTAGTTTTAACATTCCTGAACCCTGTTTCTACTTGCTGTTTTACCTTTTAGTTTAATACCAGGTCCATGAGGCAAACACTAGCAACGTAAGAAAATTGCTGACACAGGGTAGGAGAAAGGCAGATTTGTGATCTGAGCACATTGTACATTAATGCATGAATTTGTCACATACAATCAAAACATAACATTTTTATTCTACATCCAGCAAATAACAGCAGAGTCTGTTAGACTGGCAAGATAAAGGATTTTTAAGTTAATTTTGCTCCGGGCACAAATTGTATGTTACATACAGTACAAAGTGAGAACGCCGCAAATGGGGCTTGGGCTGATGCTTAAAGGATAACAGACCAGTTGGTAGTATCAGACACTTCAGCTCCCATGCTGCAAGTTTAATGCCAAGTGGAAAAAGTATGCCATGTAGTCACATTCTTCTAAATCCATCTCTTTCTCTTCACCAACTATCTACTTTTCTCTGGTGTCACCCCGCAGGCTTCGTCAGCTACGACAATCCAGTGTCGGCACAGGCAGCCATCCAGGCCATGAACGGCTTCCAGATTGGCATGAAGCGGCTGAAGGTGCAGCTGAAGCGCTCCAAGAACGACAGCAAACCGTACTGATCTTAGCACTAGGGTCTATCTGCTCCCCATGTTAGCACTGCTAGGGTAAGTCCCCCCACGAAAAAATGAAAATGAACAAAAAAAACAAAAAAAAAAGCAACAGCAAACCGAGCCACGACCTCTCTACACAGGGACTGGGGGGTGGGTGGGGGGGTTGAAGGGAGGGATGTGGGAGGGAGGGGGAGACGACCTACAACCACCCTGAGGGAGACACACACGCCTTGTTTTGTTTTATTTTTCGTTTTTTTTTCTTGCTTTTTTGAAGATTTTTATGTTAGCTTTCAAGTATTATTTATTACAATTTTCTTTTTTTCTTTTTTTTTACACACATGAACGCTTCCATTACCGCCATTACTTTGTGCAATTTCTTTTTTTTTAACAATGGAAGGAAATAGCTATCTTGGGTAGCTTTTTTAAAGAGTTTGTTTAAAAGTTATTTGATTTTTTTCCTCTCTCAGTGATTATTTATATATTTTTGAGGACTAGTTACAGTCAGAACCGAGGTAAAGACAAAGGAGCCATGATGATTTTTACATTTTTTTTCCTCTCTCTCTCTCATTGTGAACCTGAGGCCTGGCGATGGGTTCATTTTTTTTGACGCGCATGCAGATATGCACATTCGACCTTTGACCTCCGCGGTGTTGGTTGCAGGCCGCCGCTGCTTCTCAAAAACCCCTCTATGCCTGCTGGCAACCCGGGAGCAAAGGCTGCAAAACGTTAGTGGCCTCTTTACATTATAGTCAGTGGCGACGTCAGCCTGCCGTACAGTTACAGTCCACCACCACAAGAAGGAAAAAAAACACACGCACACACACTCCAGCTACGTCTTATTATTTATGTGAAAATAAAAAACAGTTTTTTATTTCTCAGAAGATGAAAAAAAATAATTAGTAACTACTTTTCTGGGTCAGATCACATTGGTCTTTGTTGTGAAAGGAATATTACAGCATGTAGAACATTTAAAAAAAATAACATCCAGAATTTGATGAAGGCTATAATAATAATTCTAATAATAAAGGAGTTTATGGGTTATGGTGGTAACTGAAAATACTTGATGTTTGTTGAAAGATTTAAAAAAAAAATAATTCAAAGTACAGAAAGCCACAGGCCTGTAAATTTTATTTGTAAAAAAAGCAGTTCTATTTTTATACAACATTTTTACTGCCTCAGATGAAAAAAAAAGGATTTTATTTATTGCCTATCGTTAAGTTATTGGACTCCTATAAAGTATACAGCATCATTAAAGTAGACCCTTGTGGAGAAGTCTCGTGGAATTGGGTTCTCCGATGTTTTTCATGTTTTTTCAGTGCAGAAACCACAATCACAACACACTTCGCCGCCATTCGAACTGCACCCCCCCCCTCCTCCGCCCTCCCTGTGTCATTTATTCATTCACACACATTTTTCTGGGCTGTTCATGCATTCATCCATCAATCCACCACTCTCTCCCTCTCTCCATCCGTAGTGGGACTACTTCTTCACTTGTCGTATTTCTACCTTTTTCCTCGCGTCTTTACTTATTTAATTTTTTTTGTTTTGAGTGTTTCCGTTTTTTGTTTGTTTGTAGCCCCCCACCCTCCCAAAGATTAAAACAAAGAAAGATGATAAGGCCCCCCCCCCACCTCTGTCCCCCTCCAAAAAATATGACTATTTTCTCCCAAATGACAACATCCATCTGGGATCTGATGGATAACGCTTTGGGTGCTCTCTGTTTTTTGTGTACGTGTGTGTGTGTGTGTGTGTGTGTGTGTGTGTGTGTGTGTGTGTGTGTGTGCGTGTGTGTTGTTGCCTGTTAATATAGACCTATAACATTATATCATTTTAAAAAAACAACAAAATCAAAGCAAAAAAATTGCCAATGAAATCAGTGAGTGGTGTTGCTGTTCTGCCGGTTTGCATTGTTGTTGTTGTTGTTGTTGTTGTTGTTTGTTTGTTGTTGTTTGTTGTTGTTGTTTCTCCTGATTTTACAAAAATGCTGTAGTGGTGTGGTGCTCTGGCTCTCTGTGTGTAACTCTCTCCTCTCCCCTGTTTTTTCTTTCCCCCTTTTAGAACAACCCATCTCCATGCCTGTTAGCTCATCGTTTGCCTAGCATGTCTCCGTGGCGTCCCAAAAAAAAAAACTTTAAACAAAACAAAAACAAAAAAAATCCCCCACCAAAAAAAGTGTCATCGTCCTCCTCTTCCCCCGTCATTGTTTTTTCTGATGTCTTTTCCGAGCTCACCTGATCATAACCTGGTTCTCCTCCTCCTCCGCCTCCTCCTAATGACCTTTTGAACTTTGAACTTTTAGCTTTTTTGGACTTTGATTTTTATGATTTTTCCCCTCCTTTGTTTTTGTGTTTTTTTGCATGTGACCTCATTTGGATCTGTTTTCTGGAAGGGTTTCGGAAGGGGAAAGAGGCGATACGGGAGGGGTGGGTGAGAAAATGAATCAATGTGAAAAAGAGATAAAGCTGCATTCATATGAAAAACAAAAATAGACTGAGATTTTTATGGAAAACAAATGTTCATTTTTGGAGAAAAAAAAACAACAACCTGTGGCAAAGTGATTTCCATTCAGTATGTTTTCTTGCATTTTTTTTGTTTCTTCTTCTTCTTTCCTTTTCTTTTCTTCTTCATTTAAAGTAAACTTGAAAGTTCACCACAGGAATTGGCGCGTCATCTTGCTTCTGGCGCCGGTAAAAAACAGAGCGCGGGCCAGAAGCAGTCCGCGCCAGTTTCTCTGAGAAATAAGACTACTTCCAAACAGTTTTGAGTAAAAACTGTCTGATCAATATTAGACTCTCTCAGAGCTCTCCAATGGTTTTTACATTTTTCAGGCAGTGTAAAGTTTTTTGATAAGGCCATTTTAAGTGGCTCTGTTTCTCATTCAAAGTCTATATATAGAACCACTTTTTTCTAGAGTAGTTTAAAGGTAAAAATAAAAAAGACATTTGCCCTGTTCGGGTGGGAGAAATGCTACCTACTTGTGTCACCTTTTGCTGAACTGACTCACAGATAGACAATCCGTGGTTTAAATGCACATGATGAAATGACCTATATTTTCTACTGTTTAAATGTATAGAGGAAAAAAAATACTAAGATACCTGTAACCTGCGTTAACGTCGGTGCGTGAGTTTAGTTGTGGTTTCATCACAAGTCTAACGGTCTTAAATGTCTCATGTTTTTCAAGAGAAGACTAAAAAATCAGTTTACTTGAACAATAGACAAAGCCTTTCATATTACTATAATAGTTACTTTGTTGGGTTTTTTTCTTTGTTTTCTTTTTTTAAGGAGTCCCTATTTGCTAAATTTCTTGTTGGTTAATTAGCTATATAAAATTCCTAAAAATATATAAATATAAATATATCTATATATATAATGTCAGCTTGTGAAGCATCAATGTCATTATTATTTTATTTCTCTCGTGGGAAACAATATTTAGATGTGTTTTGTTGTTCAGCAAAATGTCTTATAATGAAAAAAGACAAGATCAGTGGAGTTTAGTGCCAAATTCTGAAGGTACTTCCTGCCTAGCGCGTCAGTGTATTTCTTGTGAAATTATTTGATAACATGGGTATTTTATTATAAGTGTTTTGTATGGATCCCTCATATTTAAAATATAGATTTAAAAAAGAGTTTGTTAACTTGCTATTCTGTGGTCTTGTTGCCTGAAAATGTCATGTTTGCTTTTTTTCTTTGTAAAGATGTAAAAAACAAAAAAAAACAACAACAAAAAAAAACAAGTGCCCATGTGTCATATATATATATATATCTATATACACGCACACACGGACACACACACACACACACACACATTCTCGTGCAGACCTCACAGTTTACTTTCTTGTTGTGCATGAGAGCCCCTGAGTGTGAAAGCCTCTACAGCAACAGCTACCGCCCGCCAGCGTGCACACACACACTTTAAAAACACACGCTCGCACAAGAATCACACACTGATATTTTTAGCCATTGTACAGCCGTTTTATTCATCAAAGCCTTACCACAAATCTTTGCACTGCTGTTCTCTCTCTATTAGTATCTCGCACACAAACACAGACATCAGGCTTCAGTAAGTATTGTTTTGATTGTTTTCTCGCACACTGTTCCGCTCCTCAGCCGAAAATTGAGGTGAGAGTCATACGCGAAGCCTTATTTCTCCAAATCCTCTTATCCCTTTTGTTGGGTTCAAAACATTTCTGAGTTGTAGCCGGCGCAGTTTGTCTCAGACGGCGAGGATCATTACTTTTGTGTATCACCTCATGCGAGCTTGCTTGCTTTCATGATGTAAGCGCAGGGCAAGACCCGCTCATTCAAAAACGAGCCCCGATCTTTTGAGGGAAAAGCACATGCCGCCGTCGGAGTGTCAAAAGAGAGAGGCGGGACGGTCCGGAGCAAGTTTTTACTTGTTTGATTTTGCCGCTGAACTTATCCTTTGACGTTCTTTTAAGTGGTTGTAAGACTTCTCCATATGTGAGTCCTGTGGTGTAATGGGCCAAAATCATGTTTAGATGCCAAAGTGTGTTATTGACATTCTCATAGTCAAGCCGTTTACATGGCACAGTGTTGTCAGTCTATTCAACTGCCCCCGATACCCCTCCCTGAAAGCCTAGTTTACGCTCTGCAAAAAAAAAAAGGCAGCATTATTTTCTACAGAAGCTCACCAGTCGCCTTAACCAGGGAGCGTTGTGCTAGTATTATAAGAATAGAAGATGTTGTCAGTCAGTCAGTAACGTGTGCCAAGTCTAAGGTCACTTTTCTGTACAGTTAACGTCCCACTCGTCAAGGTCTGGGTTTAGCTCTTCCGCCATTTCGTCCGATCGGCCAGAGCAGAGAGGCTGAAATGGCCGTCTGTCCCTCGCAGCAGAGAGAAAACGAGACGCCCGTTTGAAGGATGCCGCTCTCCGTCTGGTTGTTGTCTCCCAAGCTAACCGGGGTTATTAGAAACAGCGCTATGTGGAGAGACGTCTTATTGGAATAGCGACAGGGGAAATAAAGCGCTTGTTGGTTAGAGAGGAAGGGTCACGTCCGCGGGTCCGCACAGGCAAAACAACAGCCACAGCCGAGATGAAGGCAATACAGCTTTCATTATCCTCTCGAAGACCAAACCCAATACCAAACTATCTGATCTCATGGAGGGAGGAAAGCAGACTTCTTCCTAAATGCAGTACATGAGCAGTGCCACAAACAGCCATAACTACCTGTATGAAAGCTGGACAGGAGGAGTCCCAGTCCAATCAGTGTTAATGGACCAGTCTTCTGACCAGCGCGTGTGCAGGTTTCACGTCTGCGGTGTCAAAATCTTTGCATCCGAGAACTACGATTGCACTTGTGTCACCGTTACTTCACTCTCGCACAATTCACATAACTTTTATTCGTTAAGTGTGGAGGCTGCGTAATCCGTGCTGTTCAAGTCCACTCGCAGCACGCCACTTTACACGGCTGTCTGTGCAATTTGAGACATTTTAACTGTCCAAAAAACTATGTTGTGAATTGCCAAATCTCACGGAGTTGCACGCAGCCTGACGTTGCACAGTCTAGTGTGAAGCATCCTGTCTTTGTTTCAATGTCGAAGCACAAGAGGGCCGTAGAGTCAGAGTTTCTGTCGAGCGGCTCACCTCAGGGGCTGTCATCGCCGATGCTCGTTGTAATCTTTCTATCTTGTCACTGTTCACTTCTCTGTTTTCCTTCTTTCTTAATTATCTTAAGTGCTATTTATCAAACAATGAAATCTGAAAGGAAAAAAAAAATTTTTGAACTTGTCGTTTCTTTGCATTATGGCTTATGTCAAGTTTTTGGAGGAAAAATGTTTTGTGTGTTCTCTCTTTCCGTGCCGTAAAAAAAAAGAGCTTGTTGTCTGTAGAAATTATCCAATTTTTTTTTCCCCCCGTTTATTTTTAATTCTCAAAAAGGTTTTCAGTAGTTTCTGTCTTGAGAGAAGCCAAAGTCAATGCATTTCAGTGGATCCTGTAAGCGTGATGTATGTTTGTTTGACAACACTTCGAAATCTGTCACTGGATGGGATTTAAAAAGTACAAAAAATGCAGGCTTTCCTATTTCTACAACTGATTGTACTTATGCATTTTGTACCAGTGGAATTTTTTATACTGGAGATTAAAGGATACAACAAAAAAATCTTAGAAAAAAAGCTGTCTGGCCTGGTGGTGTGGCCTGACCCTGACTGGTCCCCGAGTATGATTTCTAGCTGGCATCAAGAAAGTTGGCTTTTGATATAAGATTTTCTAGAAGATCTTTGGCTTTATTTCTTTCACTTCTTTTTCCTCACTTGAGTGTTGTTCTTTCTTTCTACCTTTCCTTCTTACTTTCGTTCTTTCTTTGTTTTTACAAAAACAGAGGGTAGGTGAGTGTCAGATCTTTCATTTTTGCTTTTTAAATAGTTCTAGCAAGTTTGTCTATACAACAGCGGTAAGTTTCATTTGACTTCTGTATTGTGCCGTCTACACGATAAGACAATTATAGAAAAAGAAGGAATAGAAATATTTAGTCACCTTCAGTGGATTAATGTATTAGTTTAATAAAGAGATCAACTAATTAGAAATTTTTGCTTTTAGCTGTTTAGATTTTTCCGGTTTCTCTGTCCTTCTCTGTGAACTAACTGTGTAGCTGAAGCAGTCAGGATTATTTTTGTAAACGTATGTTCTTGTGTGATGCAGTTTTTTGCTTCTGTCTCCTATATTAAACCATTTTTCCTAATACTTGTCTCTCTCTGTGTTGTTATGTTCCAGTGCCTGTCTGATGTTGTACTGTTTCACGACCTCTCCCTGCCATTCTCTCGTTTTCTCTTCTCTTTCTTTCATAGTCTCTCTCATTCTATCTTTTCCCTCCCACGTGTTCACATATTTGTTTTTTCTCCACATAGTAAAGTTGACTCCATCCCCAGTGACAACTCACTATGCTGTTCTCACTAAACATAGTAAATATACATAGAAGTGTTTGTATGTATATTACTGTGTAGCCCAAGTTGCCGCGTGACAGTCGAGAAATACCGGGATCCTGCTGACTCCATATTGAATCTTGCTCAAAATTTTACCGGTAAAAAGTAAGAAACGCATTAGCTGGGGGTAGAAAAGATGAAAGCATTTTTGTTTCTTAGCTTAAAGGAATAGTTTGACATTTTGGGAAATACGCTTATTTGCGTCCCTACTGAGATTTTAGGCCTGGTCATACCAGAAAGCAATACAGCAAAATTTGTTAAAGCTTGGTGAGGTAGGGCTAGTCACTAGCATATCGTAGCTGGTGAGCTAACCGTAAATAACAGACTAGCCAGCTGGGCGCAAGCTGCTTCCTGTGTTCTCTGTTTACTCGTGGCATTTTGTTCTTAGAATAGTACATTATTGGGGAAAAAACTCACAGAGCCAGCAAACTTGCTAACCATTGAGCTTAGAGGTACAGGCAGGCAGATTTTGTTACCCTTGGACAGAGCCAGGCTGGCTGTTTCCCCCCGTTTCCAGTCTTTATGGTAAGCTAAGCTAACCGGCTCTAGCTTCGTATAAATTGTATAGGTATGAGAGTTGCATCTATTTACTTATCTTACACTCAGCAAGAAAGCAAATGAGAGTATTTCCCAAACTTTTATCACTCTGATTGATTTACAAAGCCAGTTTACTCGTTTTCGTGCAGCTGAGAAATGCAAAACGTTCACTCGGCTCTCACGGCTGTTGCGATAAAAGCTAAACTCACGCTGGAATTGGCTAATGCTTTCAATAGGAGGGTTGACTCTGATCGGGGAACAGCGATTGGCCCCTGTGAGTGTTCCCTCATCAGGGCTTTGGCCCATGCTGTCCTCCTTCCTGTACTGTCCGCTGTCCTGGGCGAGGCCTGTCCACTGTATGTCCACTCTGTGTCCAATCCACACCCCGTACTGTCTCACCGTCACAACTGCATCCCCAGTAGACAGAGAGGAAAGAGAAGTCAAAGGTCAAAGTTTTCACCTTTCATTCACGGATATCAAAGAGGGTTTTGACATGTGTTTGAATAAAAAGTGGTACTTGAAGAATTCCTCAAAAAAGTGTTTGCACTGCTAAAAAATTTAAATGGGAAGAACTGGACAATACTGGCTGCTTTTTGAGAACATAAAAACAGACAGACGTTCAATGAAAATCTGCAGACTCCCTCACTTTAAACCAGCTCTTTAAACCAAAGCTGCAACGTGCAGTGCTCTAAATCTTTTGTCTTTAAAACTTCATACAACAAATATCCACATAGCTGTACATTATGTGCTGTCTGGCACATTATGGCATTCTTTTCCTTTCATCACTGCACCGGTCCACCAACTCTGTTATTAAATATTGATTGTGAGGTTCAGGCAAGGCATACAATAAACTGCCCTCAGTCTGAGGAATCCTACCCATGGATAGATAATATTACCCCTCTATTATTGTCAACATGTGGCCTGTAATTCAAGAATATGTCTGCAGCTCAAGAGTTTTATTTTTTCATAGATGTTTATCTCTTCTGGTTTTGCTCTTTGGGTTTTATTCCCCCTCATAAAATCACTTTTATGAATTTGAAAGCATCCAGAAAGGAAAGGGGATGTGTGGGGCTACATGCTAGATTTGGTGGTCCTACTGGAAAAGGTGAGTGTCTTCATCAGCTGTTATCCATGATGCTCTGAGTTTCAAGGTAAGGTGTATATAGTCAGACACAAGATTCGAAATAGATTTGACAAATCTGCATGTTTGAAGGCTGTCTTTGCCACTGGCGGCACTTCATTTTGACCATTTTGACAATTTTCCGTCCATAAGATTTCAAGGATTCAGCCAAGTTTTAGAAACATAACTGAAGTTTTAAGAAGTAAATATTTTCAGTTATGATGGACACTATTACCCAAAGAGAACCAGCTTTTTTTTATGTAATTGTATAATAGTTAAATGTGTCCAAGTAACCTTGACAGACACCACAGAGCTCTTCTTTTGCTACTTGTCCCATTTTGCAATAATTCCTTGGAGCTGAACAACCTTAAAAACACCCATCATGAAGCCCTTCAGCTGCGTAGAATGAATAACACATGAATAAATCCCACAATCAATACAAGACTATTTATAGTGAGTAGACAGCAGTGATACTGGATCAATAAACCAAACACAAAGACATTGTTCGCAGATGAAAATAGAGGAGTCACGCTCAATGAAACATCAGAACAATGGTTATGCTTTGGAGCGTGGTGAGGGCACTGTAAGGAATTCAAGTCATATGAAGTGGTTTGGATGGAGGTAAAATATAGTAGATTAATGAATTATGCAGTTGATCAGCAGGCTATTTATTACCATCCTTTGAATTTTTGTTTGAAGATACAAGAATCTCTTAAACCACCAAACCACACAGCTCGTCTGTTATTCACGCATTCACAAGAGGTAGAACGACATGCCGCAGGGGCTGAGAACACACATACACATCAGTCTTCTATCCGTCACATTCCCGACGTGAACATGCAAGCTTCCTTCCTGTGAGGAACTGTACGGGATTCTCTGCGCTCAACGACGCCACAGAGAAGCCAAGGGACTTGGCTGGAGAGCAGGAAATTGGTCAGATCATAGAGAGAGGATGAGAGGAAGGGAACTGTTTGATTCGAGCAAACGAAGATCAGCTACAAGCCGAGGCTGATGCGCTGCCAGAGCACCAAGAAGGAAACCAGATATTGTTGCTGCAAATATTAGAGCTTCAAAACGGCACTTTTGCAGGATAATAGTTCAGGAGGAGGCAACAACATCAAGGCCATAACTATGACTAAGGACACCAAGGTCATAACATACACCAAGGATGTGTTTTTTCACATGATTCCACTTTTCACACAAGGACACAATTCATTCAAGAAAGGAAAAAAAAAGTATGTTCTTACATTTTCTAACCGAACTACAGAAATATACGCAGTAGCCAAAATGGCCCAAAATAAACAGGGACCTCAGTATTATTTAGGTCCTGGTAAATTGCTTCACAAATAAATCATTCAGAATGTGTGATTTTAAAAACTACTCATCAGGGGTTTGGTTAACAGCTCAGTAGCTAAACATAAAAAGGATAAAGGAGGAAAATAAAATAAAATTTAAAGCTAATGCATTTTTATTTACGATATTCTTTTGATGCTGTTCCTTTGTATCAAATACCATGTTAGGTACAAAGGTGAAAAAGAAAACTATGAACAACATAACGAGGCATTGTGATAAATACTAAACGTCAACAATGTTTCATTCAGAAAAATGAGAAATCATTTCAATGTTTTAACAACAGGGAATAGGCACGCATATCGTCCTGACCACTACATTTATATCTTACAAAATATTATATTATATATTTACGTATAATTTGCACCATTTTCAATGCAATGAACATCAATACAAGAGTAACAACACATTTGACCCATTCATATTTAGAAAGCAAATCTTCAAACTTTACAAAATAAATTACATATTGTGGCCATTTTAAATCAAGAACTGAAGAGGCGCTTTATTTGAGTATATTTACTGTGAGTACATTAGTTTTGTTCTTTGTGATCCTGTCTTGTAAATAGTTATCATTAACATCTATTTCAACTCTTTAGGAGCAAAAGGATAACCTTTTTTTTTTTTTCACTATTGAAACTTCTCTTTGAATACACTGTGCCATGGAGCAAATAAGACTAGTGAGACTTAAATTCCAAATAAAGGCTCTCTTTGCTATGCAGGTAATTAAATTATAGTGTTGATCAAAGCAAGGACTGGGAGGGGGGGTGGGCTTTGTGTCTTTTTTACACTTTCCCAACCATTTCTTATGCATTCCTTTGAAGAACTGAAGTGACTCATTCCCCTTTGTTAGACAAAATATTCACAGAATTAGTATGCTTATGCAATGCTTAAGCTTGTTGGCAGAGCACGGAACCAGAGAAATATATAAAACCCAGTTATCTAAAGGTCTTCAAGCACACAGTTTAATGTTACCAGAGTTAGATGATACCATGCTGCCATCTTGTGCTGACAAAAGGAAGTAAACCTTGATGCAGAATCCGCATGACCGGCTCATTAAAAACAAGAATTTTGTGCCAAAACTCTCACTGAGGTGATTCTCTGCTGATATTATGTTAAAGAGGAGCCAACCTATTTGAGGATAATGTCAGCGTGTTTGTTTTAAGTAGCATGCTCTTTGATGAGATTAGCACTGTACACCATACCTTTCATTAGATCTGTTATTCCTCACTGATATTTGGGCGTGCCGGATCTCAGAGCTTTGATCTCTGCTAGATACCTGTGGGTGTGTGTTTTGGCACAACTTGCCTATGACAACGCCCTTTTGAAGTGACATTTTATTTCTGTGCAGCAGGCAGCTCAGTCACCACCTGTGAATATGCACCAACATTTTGTAAAGCTGAGGAAAAAAAGTAAGTTGATTGTGATGTTAAACCAACAGGAGCAGCTGCACTGAGGTGTCAAGATGTGACATTTCCACTTTTTCTCAAATTTTTTTTCAGCCCTGTTAGCAACCTGTTTTATATCAGGTTTGTTTGGCGTCTTCTTATTCATCAAGTATGATGGTGAATATTACCCAGTTGGTGTTAGAAGTTAAGTTCTTACTTTCTTTCTTTATAATCAGCTTATCTACAAAGTTTTGTGTAAATGGCTAATAACTTTATGAAATGGTAAATTTTTGTTGGAGTTGTAGGACTATATGTATGTAAAAATTTAAACATCCAACATTAAAAAGATTATAAAACAAACATCACATA